AAGTAATTAAATAAAAAATCTCAAGATCGTATCTATAAATATTGATATAATTTCTATTCTATTCGAATCTATCGAGAAAAATAAGAATAATAGATAATAATTGGATCTTCTATCTTCAAATAAGAAAATAATTATGAAACCAAAAAATTTAAAAAAAAATAAATATAGATTTAGATTAATAGAAATAAATAATAATATAATTTTTAGAATAAATAAATAGTAATAGATAGATATCTAAGGCAAGAAGCAATACTAATAAGATATATATAAATATAAGAATAAATTCATAAATATATTTATATATTATTGCGGCCCGACGAACCCCCCCTCCCCTCCCCTAGCCTTCCATAATTTAATTTATATATATTTATAAATAGAAATATAATATAATTATGAATATAGAAATGGACCCAGCTATATATTTTTGTCCCCATATAGGAGCGCTACTTTATATATACGGTTCTGTACTTCTCATGGGCCCGCTATACGCCTCTCCAGAATATGCCCCCACAGACGGATACCGCTAATTCGGCTTAGTAATACTTAATAAGCCTTAATAAGGCTTATTAAGGCTAAACAAGCGGTGTCCACAACTTTGGGCAATATGCCTTTCTGACTTGAAGCCTGAGCTGTGGCAGGCATACGCCCTCCCAAACGATTAGGCCTTATTAAAGCCTATTAAGCTTTATTAAGCACTAATAAGTCTTGGTAAAGTCTTATAAGTCCCTATAAGTATTTATAAGCCTTTTTATTATCAAATATGGTTTCGTATTTTGACGGCACAAATATTGCCTTGTGATGCCTATGATATGCTTATTTTTCATGGGGAGGTATCATGGAGAGGTGCAAATACTATTTATGAACTTCGGCATCTATATGCTCCAGATGGGGAAGGGAAGGAGAAGCCCGACTCGCCCTCCCTTCGTATGAGCTAGGCCCGTATTATATTTGAGATCTATATCATTGGGACGGGGAGCGGGGGGGACGTAGAATGCCCAATGCATAATCATATATTTATATATATATATAGGAAATCATAAAATCAAAATCTAAAATTCCTTTCAGAGAGAGATATATATATATTTGCTTTTATTTAACGTAATTTTCTATTTCTTGAAAATTGATTCTTGAAATTTTGATAGAAATATCGTTTTTCTATTATCAAATTATTTTCAAATCTTGGTTGTCAACAGCTTTATAAAAAAATTTTAAATTATGCTAGAGCCGATGCTAGAATATATATCATGATATAAAATAAGCAATTTATAATTATTTAATTATCAAATAATAATAATTTCAATTTTATGATATATGCTGAAATCTAATAAATATTAATATTTGAATAGAAATATAGATATTATCAAAGAAGGCACGTAATCTAGCTTAGGATCATATCAAATATTGAAGTGGCTGCATGCATATTTAAATTAAAATTAAAATCTAGCATGCAAGCTTAAGATATTAGTCTAGCTCATGAGGCACAGCTCCACTGACTTGCTGAAAATTATTTTCAAGGGGCTAAATCTAATTTATATTTATTTCTCGGAGGGATCAAGCATAGCAAATAAATTAATATAATTCAATAAATATGGCTGATATGGCTCAAGACATATTTGAATGATTGTGCGAAAAAAGACAAGAATGATTTTATTTTTGCTGATTTTGATATTTGATAGGACGCACGTGCTAAATCCAGGTTATAGATGCTGGCTTGAAAACCAGCTATGCACTGTGCAAGCCGACCAGAAAGGATTACTGCAAGCCATAACCCCCAGCCCCAGCCCCCAGCCCCAGCCCCAGCCCCGCTCCCAAAGCCCCAGCCCCCAGCCCCCAGCCCCAGCCCAGCCCCAGCCCCCAGCCCAGTCCCCAACCCCATTTGGGAGCCGAAAATCATTGCGCTCGTAATCTAAAAGTCTCAACAATTATGGGGATAGAAAGAATCCTGGTAGTGACGCCTAGAACTGATAATCTTGTTCTTATCGGGTGCTTAACTATATTCGGATTCGAAATTCTTATCATATTTTTTTCTTTTTAGGGAATTTATTTTAGAATCTAAGGCTTCAAGAATCAAGAATCTTAAGATTTAAAATTCTGCGACTTCCCTTATTACTTTAAAGTCCCAAGTCCTTATGAATCCGGGAATCTAAAATAAGATTTTAATTAATAAAAGGAGAAGATATTTTATCCTCTCGCAAGGACACTCGGGGATATCCCCTCCTGACCTAAGGAGAGGGATTGGAGAAGATAATCCAAAAATTAAACGAAATCGAGCAGATTTTTAGATTGCTATCCTCTCTATCCCTTCTCCTTAAGATGCTCGGGGTCATCCTCTCCTATCGACGATTTTTGACCTCATCTTAGGATGCTCAAATAGTGCATGGAGCAACTTGGCATATAAATCGAATTTAGCACTATATATTGCAATACCCCTAAGATTTTGATTATATTTTATCATGATCTTTATTTTCTCGACTCTATTTATCAAAAATAAATTTGTGGCAATCAGTAGCTGAGATAATTATAAAATCGATCATGGTCGTCGCTACCGGTTTTATTCCGAAGCAAAACTTATAAATAAACGTTATTTCTGAAGTGGCTTGTAGCAAAATACCACGCCGCCGTGCAGATCTTCCAATAATAAGAACTGAGCGGGGGCATCAAATATCATAATTACACTCCATCAAGAGCAGAAGAAAAATTATGGAGCCACGAATGCAACCTATCGAACCAGGATTACAATCGACTACTATCGATCGAAAAGAAACAAACATACTAATCAGAATAAAAATCATAGTCCAAGTAAAAATCTGATACAATAATATATGAAAATATTTGTATTTCGTATTTTCGATATTTTCTTCAGAAATATTCGATAAAAATTATATAAAGATATTTTTTTATGAATCAATATTATCATCGTCTTTATTTATATAGATCAAGATATAGTTAAAATTAACCGATCTTCTAAAATATTCAAATTATTACAAAATTATTATCGATTTATATGTTCTCAATTATTCCGAATTAGAATCGAAATTCTATTCAAATATTCTCCAACTAGAAAATGCCTTCTAATTGTAAATATTGAAAAATTTCTAATATATAATACCAAACTAAAATAAGATAAATATATATATATATAATTTTTTTGAATATCAAAATTATTTCTAATCTAATAAAAAAATTCAAAGAAAAATAATAGAAATTATTCTTAATATAAATTTATATTTATAAAGAAAGATATCTAATATAAATATATATATTCTATTTTATTTAGAATTCATAATATTATGATCCTCAAGATAAAATATACTTGAAAGTGAATAATATTTCAATATATATTTGTATTGAGAATTATAATCATAATAGAACGAAACTAAATTTAAAATATTTAGACGACAATAATAGAAATCAAATCATCTCAAATCTCGCCAAGAGGTGTCTTCGTTGGTTATTTTCAGAGCAGTAGAAAATTATTTATTGCACCCACTATGTATTTTAGATCATAACCGAATCTTTATTCCATCTTTATTCCCTTAGATTTTATGTTATTCATGTGGAAGTCGTTCTCCGTACTAGTGCACAAAGGTGCCACCGGTGAGCACCACATCTATGGACAATGCCGGATCCCCAAGGCTGGATACTGTGAGTACAGCAACAATCAGAGTACGTCTGCCTAGGCTTGATGAGAGCCGGATCCAGCCATAGGGCTCCTGCAGCTTCTTGGAAGCCCAAGCTCTAGGCTTCTTGAGACTCATCTTGAGCCCGGATTGCATAAACCTTGAGATCCCGAACGGCGCCTTCGAAAAAGTATCTTGCCGTCTCACTCTCAGACCTGACATTCCACAGGTATCCCACGGTCCGGAAGGATAGGCTGCAGATCATTAGCAATATCCTGCAGCCCTGCACCTGCGGAAGACCACGAATCTCTCAAAGCTGGCTGCTCTATGAGCATAATCTGCTGGGGCATGGACCGGCCCGCACCAATCCTGTCAAAAATCGGCTGAACTGATCTGGCAGTCTTCAATTAACAAAGGCGAAACTTGATAGCCGGTTCTGCTGCCGAGGCTGCATTACGCTCTGGCAGAGATCTACGGGTCGGACGCCACATCTAGTCTGTGCCTTAGCGGGCACTTCTTGTTTGCCACGAAGGTGACCCCATGTCGGACACCGACGTGCTCGCCGTCAACATAGAGACTGACCTGAGGTCGAACAGCCTTTGTTGCTACCATGTTGACAATGAGCATGCCCGCACTACCGGTGGCTGTTATCCAAGCCGGCGCATCATGAACAAGCTCGTAGCACTGCGGAGTGAAATGCTGCCTGTAAATCATGTTAGTTTTCGGACGTAGACCAATTTCGCTTGAAACTTGGCCAAAGCAGAAGTTCAGGAATCATGCACTGCTTCTAACGTATTCCTGGCCCTGACTCATCGCGAAAGCTCCCCAACACACACAAGCACAGACATGTGCGCGGGCACTCGCTCTGCTGCACATTCGGGAAAACTAAGACAAAGCGGTCGTGAATGGTGGCCGGGTCCCACACAGATTTCGTGCCTGCATCGTATGCACCCAGAAGTGACGTCCAGCGGCCATGAGCCACCGGAGGGCCTGGAGCCGGCCCATTCAGTTCACTACCAGTTTCATGAAGTCTGTACCCTGAAGAAAATCCCAAATGAGAACCTGCTTCGCAAGAAGCGTCTGCACTCCCTAGCTTTAGGGCAACGAAACAGGAAAGCACAACTGCTCTGCTCGAGGCCCGCCTTGCACACCACTCCAGTACAGACCATCGCCGACCCAGAAGGCCCATCTGTCCTCTCCATCGACGTAGAAGATGTAACCCGACCTGGATTTTGCCTAGTGTCTGAGTAAAAAACTTACAAGGCACGTCGCAAAGTACGAGCTCCAAGATACTTCAACTGCATTTTTGCACTCGGCAACTTCGACGCAGACTTGCCGCCCACGGCCTACTATGAGCTCTCAAACTGCTGGGTTTATGCATTGCTCGTGGGCAGATCCTCAGTTCGTTTTTGCGTCTGGGACTAGGAAGGCAATGTGGTGGAGCTCTCGACTGATTGACATTCTGTGGACTCAGTCAAGGAAAAGTTTGCACGCCGCGGCGTATGGAACAAGCCTGCAAGGCTGAGCGATGCAGGCACTTTGGCCGTGGGCACAGCATTACAACGCAGTGGCAGTCTGTGCAACAGCTTCTCCATTGCGTCAGAACCTTTATGCACTCCTTACACGATCAGAACCCTCATCAGGACCTTGTAGAACTGCTACAGAACCATAATGGACAATCAAGAACACCAGTTTATCAGCTTCCCTCGCTGACCACACTTCTCTTTTCCTTCTGTCTCGTGGTTTGCTTTCCTGACAAAGCTGCTGACTGTTTGAGCTGACTTCGTTACTTTGTGTGTTGTGTTGTGGTCCAATAATGGATACTACAAACAGAAGCCGAAGCCAGTCTCTGGGGTGGCGTGAAGCCCCGCTATGAATCCCTCATCGCTAGACTCTTTATGTTACACCCGTTTTACCCTGATCGGTTCACGGTGTCCCAGCATGAGCAACCCAAACAGCACGGGAAGAAGCTTTGCCTTTTGGTGGCTTGCAACCTTTCCATTGAGCAAATTCCTTGCTTGGGACAACAGGACTCGCCCGAACACTCGCCAGCTTTTCTCAGGACAGCGTGGACCGAGACAGTACTGGCTGAGGCTGTGCACACCCCCGTTTCAATGGCTTTGTAGGGAGATTCCCCGAGTGTGTGTTACTGTGTTAAACGATAATCAGTCAAAGACAGACAACGATAGTGTGTACCTCTTTGCATTTTTCGCTTGTACTAGGGCCACTGCTACTTCTCCTCCTCCCTCTCCTCCGCCTCCTACTACTACTACTACTACTACTACCACCACTACTACTACTACTACTACGACGACGACCACCACCACCACCAAAACTGCCACTACAACGCTACGACTACTACCGTTTGTAAATAGTAAATACTACACGCGATAGTAATACCCAGACTATCACCACTCCACAAAGTTTGATTGACAGATGTGCGTTCGAAGGAAATGTACCATCCGATAATTGTGCCAGTACATCTTGGTAGCCTGCTCTCAAGACACTCTTTGGATATTATCTCCATCTGTCCGAGGACACGCTGCATCTTAACTACATGCCGACTGGAAGCCGCAAGCCGCACTGGGCACTGCACGGAGGGGTGGTGTCGCGGCTGGTGACTGGCGATCGAAAGCCCTGGCCTCCGTCGCAACCTCACACAAAAGAGGCAAGACGACACTGGCGAAAAACAGCGATGTTACTTAGCCCCCCGCGGACTGAAAGCGAGACGACGAAGGACTCCGGATTTGCCTTGGTCAAAAGAAGCCGCAAGCCAACAACTACATTATCGGCTTCCACCCAAGACGTGAGCGCGCCTGCTCTGCTAACTAACCTCACCGTCCGAGCTCACCGCGCTGTCTGTGTGAGGCATGTCCTCCATGGATTTCCCGTCGCAGCTCCACCTCAAGCCAGTTCACAGTGTTGCAGTGTTGCTGTTCTTTCAACTATCCTTCACTCACCTCGGGACATATTGCCAGCACATCATCGACAACCGAATGTGACGACTTCCGGCCCAAGACTCCAACTCTGGAGAACAAGTAAGGCCTTGCAAGTGGCCTACCCCCCTGTTCAACTATTCCCAGACGCTCGTCAGCCCTGTACTAAGGCTGATGCGGGCCAGCTTTGTCTAGGCAAAGGTCATACCTTGCATCCTGCCAATCAATGTTAGAAGCAGTGGAGCCCACCGTGGTCGCCGCCACACCTCGAGATCCAGATGCCCGTTCTGCTGCGTCGCTGGGACGGCAGGGGAAGCAGTAATCTTGATCAGCCTCGGGCGACAGTTTATCGAGCGATTGGCGCTTCTCATCGACAAGGATGCATATTGCCCTTTTGCGCTTCCCCCGTCTGCTCAGCAAGTGCAACTGTCACCTATGCATCGTGGCAAAATAAGAACTGGCAGCTTCAAACGCGCTGAGCAAGATTCAAGGAGATTCACAGCGACATGTGGAACTGCTTCTCGCATGATCGCACTTGCCCGACCGAGTGATGGGCTCTTCTGGCAAATAGTGCTTCCTGCGAGATTGCAGGTTGGACGATTGCACCTTCAGCACTCACCCAAACAACGTCCACTGCTTTCCTGAAACAGTAGTGTCTAAGCTCATCGACTGTGGCCCTATGGGTTCGTCTGCCCTTCGAGGAACGGCACTGCTGGAAATCGAAGCCTCTTGGGGTGCACAGATGCAGATGGCCACACATCAGCCTCCCTGGCTCTGTGCAAGCTCTGGCAAGCCCAATGGAGTTTCCCATGTCCCCTGTTCGGGCTGGGTGGGAATCGCAGAGACATCAGCGTCCTGGAGCCATCAGAGTGCTGCACCTGCACGCCATGCGGAAAGCCATTACATCGCCTCAGAACACGTGGAACGGGCTTCCCCCAGCAGGCGAGTCTCCAGTTCCGCTGCTGCTCAGCCTGCGGCAGTCCTGTGACTGTTCCTTTCACGAACTTTCTCACCAGCACACGGTCACCAACCGAGAAGTCGTCGATTGACGGTGCCTCCTGGGAATAGACGCGCCCCCACCCTCAAAATTTAAAGTTCTCCCCAAAACAACAGACATGGAGAGTGATATCCAAAGATTACGGAATGAGGCTTGGCATCTCTGTGACAGTCTTCGGCGCAGACTGGTGAAGCCACAGTTGACTGCTGGCGAACTAGTGCGACGCTTCGAGCCCTGCGAAGCTCAGACCACTCCAAAAATGGTCCGTAAGGGCTAATTATGTACGCTAATTCCAAACATGCCAGGACATGTCAACCAAGGCAAGCACAGCTTGCTCTGTCAACTTCCGCAGGGCATCCTGCAAGGATTTTCCATGCCCAAGATTCCGAGAGTAAGCTTCAAGCATAGATGATATGATATTGATCCAGCATCATCAGGCACAATGGCATCCACACACAGTTCTCCATGAAACGACACAAGCCAGCTCCAAGCAAACAGGCCTTCGACTCTTTTTGGTCCTCATCCGAGTCAGCGGATTCCTGCAGCTATTGTTTACATCTGACACACATGATCATGGCTTGAAACTGCACTGAACGGAACGGCGGATCTCCGGTCGCAGCCCGGAATTTCGGGTCCTCCTCGGCCTCGCTGTCGCTGCCGTCCTCGCCCGCATCTGTGTCGGGGTCTCCCGGTTTGCAAGCCTGCACCAGGATGGAAAGGAACGAACCACGGACACGGCATTCGCATCATGGCCATGGCAGCGCTAGATTGGACCCGGCACCTAGCTGCAGGCCGCAGCCTCAAACCGAAATACCACACAATGTCGCCTGCAAACTGCCACAAGCAAGGAACTAGCTAGTTGCACCAGCAGGCCTTTGAGCACTGCTGTGACCTCAGTCTCGAAAAGACCCCCGGTGCCTTGAAGACTGCCAGGGACATGTTCCAGATGTTCAACCCCAGAGGGTTCTCCTGGCCGACAGCTATGAACCCAAGCGAAGGAGCAAAACAATCGGTCAGTTGTTAAGCTTATCGGCCACTGGCATCAAGATCTTTTTCTTCTACCCAATCACATTCCGACTAAGTGAACACAATCCAAGCTGACCTCTGGCGTGCTCATGTCGTCGTAAAGTGCCAGCGGGCTTGGGAAGTTTGACATTCGCGGTTTCACCTCAGCACGGGCCAGACAGGGCGAGGCTGTTCGTGGGTTCGTGGTGCATTGCTCGGTCTACGAGATACTGAGGTTGATGACTTAGTAAAGAGCGAATGCGACCAAGCAAGCCCCACGGTAAATTAAGCACTTGACTGCAGAACAGAGATGACTTACGGTTTGCGAAAAGGTGATGCAGGAAGCAACGTATGCCCATGCCCACAGCGGCGAAGCAAGGGCACGACCGTCATGTCCCAACGACCGAAGCTTGCGGCGTCGGGCGCGGTGGTGTTGAACGTGTTGGACCAAAACTTCTGTGTCACTCCACGTTCCGTGTCGAGCTGCGTCGTCATCAGCTCAGCTGATTGCATGAATTAACCTGTCGGTAAGCTGCGCACCACGGCGCGAAAGCCGCACTCTCGCAAGCGATCGCGATCCTGCGGGTGAGAGGCATCGCCAACCAGTTTACCACCTAAGTCAAACACAAATAAACCTTCAAGTTCCATGACAGCCACCCCAACACTCAAGAACTTATCCCCGATGGTCCGCGGCGATCTCTCCGGTATTCTTTTCGCTGACGACCAGGAGTGTGTCATCTAAGTCGGCGAGCCTGCTGTCGCGGAGATAAACAACAGCAGGTCAGGATCTCTGAAGCCTCTCCCTACTTGCCGCTACTTGCCTAAATGACATCCGCAAGCTCGTGACAAGTCGCCCCCACCCATGGCCTCTGCAGGGCCTTGCCCCACTGGTCCGATGCGTCTCCAAGGGGTAGACGATGCAGCGACTGGAGTGTCAGCTTCAAACGTCTGAGTCCAGCTACCTTCTCTGAGCCTGAACTTCCAACGGCCACGGACGGCTACGGGTTTTCGGGGCTTCCGAGTCTGAATCAGTCTGAGTTTCAGCTGAGAGGGGATGGAGGGAGCTTTGTGCTAGAAACAACTCAGTCTGATGCATTAATCCTGCTTGGCTACTTGCTACGGATTTCCCCTCAAGGACCGAATTCCGATGGCAACGCTGCGTCCAAGCGCTCTGCTGGACTATATGCCAGTCGAAATGTTGGTGGGGAGGCCCCAGATGCCACTTCCTGACAGCCATCAGGGAGGCTCAACGGTCAAGTTTGGCGATAAAGATCGTCAGCAGCATGCCACTGAGCCCTGATACACTTCTCTGCACATTCGTGCCTCTTCGATGAATTCAAGGATGGAACACCTAAGCTTGAGAGATAGGAGTACAACGGGAGCCACCTCACACGACTTGTCCAGATGCTGCGTACCACCTGCGACGGCCCTGCAGCTCACTCCAGACCACCCTGCCCCCCACGTAAGTCAAAGAAACTCATGCATTAAGATGCCTCTCTGCACTACATAGCCAGCAGCACATCTTGAGGCTACTTCACATGTTGCGACTGTGTTCACAGCTCAGGCTTGGAATCGAGATGACACAACCATGTTTCTCCAATGTGTTCATCCCGAACCGTGAGTCTGGGGCGAGTACCGGTGAAAGAAGCATGTGGCTGTACGATCTTGGGCCGTGAGACTGCCAGGAGCGTGCACGTCGGTGGCACAGGCAATTCGCATGAGCATGTGGTGACACAGTCGTCGTAAATAAGCCACAATGTGGCTCCGGATAGAGGTTAGCCGTACGTGGCACATGATATGAATCTTGAGTGTAACTACCACCCAGGAGCCTACCTGTCGCAGAGATCCAGCTTCACCGAAGCCGTTACCACGTCGCTGTCGCTGCTGGGGATTTGCACCTGCCACTGCACGCGGTCACACCAGCAGGATCACGTTCAAGTCACGAGTGCTAGTATAGAAATTCTTCACCCGGACACCTGCCCGTTCGAAGAGACGCGTCCCCAAGTACACAAATTCCTCAACACAGAGGCAGGAGTGTCGGATTTGCTGCAGCTTGTATTTTGGAAGTCCGATGAAAACAGTCGCATCCCCGGACAGCAGTTTGCAGAAAGCCTTCGATCCCGAAAGTCGCTATGCCTGCACCGTTCTATAGAAAAACGTCCACCTGATGATGTCGGAGTTTTCCAAAAGTCGATTGCGCCCCTGGCACCTCAGGCCCGATGAAATGGATCTCCATGGACTTGAGGTTCCATCCACGCCGCAGCCACTCCTTGCGAAGCCACGGGGCAGAACCCTAGGTCCAGGTTCCAGAAGGCTTGAGGCGAGGGCGAAGCACTGGACATGCTCCGTGCAGTCAGGGTGGGATGGGAAACTGAGAACATGTCACGCTGTCTGCACTTTCCTCGTACTTGTAAAGGTCGGCGAGGGTGGACCCGTAGGCTCCCAGCACGTGCACCTCACCGATTCTGAAGCTTCAAGGGCCAAACTCTTTCAAATCAAAGCTAAACTGGCGAACGTGAGACCGTTTCCTTTCGCAGGCCTTGAGATGACGGAGGCTTTCCCAGCTCTGGCCGGCCAGTCTGCAGCCCTGCGAAAGGGCCAGAATCCGGCTCTAAAGTGGCCGGCGGGCATCCGCTCTGATACATGCAAGAAACATTGCTGTGGACAGGCCACGCTAAGCAGAGAGTCCTTTCAAATCCAGCCTCGATGGCAATCATCGGGAAGGACAATGCATCGATGATGGTCTGCAAGGCTTTGTTTGGGCTTTGGGGTGTTAGTCTGGCTCTAGCTACATGCTTCACTGGGCAGCTCCCGTGTGAACTGGCAACGAGCTCATGTGCCCCAGAGCCGCGTCCTTACGTCGCGTAAACCGTTGACGCACCATGCTACCATGATCTGGCGGCCTGCTGTGCCGTCGTTCCAAGGTCGCTGAAGGGCTGGCCGTCCGCGCTCTGCAGCTCTGTACACTTCACAAACTCCTCGCAGCCACCAAACCCTGGTTCTGACTGCTTGAAGCAGCTGATCAAAACGGAGGGGAGGGTCCGAGTCCATGGTCGGAAGGCGGCTAGCTGGAGGGCTACAAGTACCTTGTGTAGAACATGTGTAGGTTTGATCCATATTACTCACTCGTGGCCGAGATGGGCGTTGGATCCTGCTTATCCCTTTCCCTTGGAATTGCTTCACTGCCCGAGGGTCTACAGACATGCTCGTGGGGCGCGTGCAGGAACATGGCACAGAACTGCTTCGAACATTACCAGGGGCTCCTGCCATCCCCCTTGGAAGATGGAAGCCGGCAACTCCTCTGCGGAGCAGCGTGTCGTAAAGCTGCAGCATCCGCCAGCCTTCGAAAGCGCAGACATCCACCCACCACCTGAAAGCTTCCACAGCCTGTATTGCAGATAGGCAAGTGCCAAGAGGACCTCTGAAGCTTACATTGAGGCCGCAGCAGGAGCGAAACCGAAGCAGCTCGATACCAAAAGCCCATCTGCAGCAGACCCGATGGCAGGCCTTGTGCATAAAGTAGGCTGCCACTGCAGTCGAACGCACCTAAGGGTGACCATGACAGGCTGCGATGCCCGCACTTCTGTCGCATGTCTGCCTGTACGACCCGAACTACGGTGTTTGCTTGCTGGCAAGACGATGTGAGACCGTCAGCTCTCGCCCGTGCTACAGACCCAAGCCCTGTAGCAAGCCTGTATCCCCAGGTCTGAAAAGGGAGGTGAGCCCTGAAGCTGTGGGGCCACCATATCCCTGACGTGCCTGGCTGCACATCCAGGAACTCTGATGCTCCTCATCTTCTTGGATACAAGCCTGAACAGGTCGTCGGACTGCAAGGCATGATGAGGCACGGAACTCACGTGGATGATGCCATGCTGATCAACCTCCTAGTGGCCTCGATCCCTGCATTTCTGACGGAAACGCCATGATCCACTGCTAGCAGTGGATAAGCTCTACAGCCTCGCATCACTCCAGCCTCCGGAAGGCCTCCAGCTCTCTATGTTCCCCGCTGCATGTGCATCCCTCCCATAGCCCGAGAGCAACAGAAGTAAGCCAATCTTACCCTACATGGCTTCGACACACTTATGCTGAAAACGCGACAACTCTGAGCATGGCAAGGCAGGGCAACGGAGGGGCCTGGCCTCAGAGCAATATCCCGAGTAGCGAGACACTGGGCACACCAGCGTTGCCGGCACCTGCTTCAGCTTTCCGCACACACAGTCAACATGTTTGGACGTAATCCCTCCGGTAGGGCCCCATTCAAAGTGCTGCACATCATTACACGATGCACAGTCGTAGGCAGGACTATCTTCCTGTTGGGTCGAACACATCGATATGCCGCCCCCCTTCGACTTAGGAAACTGCGGCCGATCGTGCTGCCACACCAAAGTGTCTTGAAGGGTTCCGCTAGGCACATGGTCAGATCCTGCCACTAAACTCATGCTTTTCGACAACCAGTTTGTGTGATGAATGAGGAGGCAAGCCCCGACTGTTGATTCACAACGCAAACCAGCCTCGCTTCATAAATCCAGTTTCTGTTGCAGCACTGGACACTGAACACTGGCTGCCCTATTGATCCACAAGCCCGCTGGTGCCCGTGAAGCACCAACATCACCGCTCAAAATTTCGACCCAGCAACCGTAAAGATGCCGAATGCACAGCCCGTCATCGCTGCGCAAACTGCTGGGACCGAGACGGTTCTGCAGACCCGGCAGCGTGGCAAGTGCACGAGCTGCTCCAACTCCCACGGCTGAGGCAGCTGACTCCTGTTCCGGGCTGCAGGGAGCTGAAAGCTCAAAGACCACACGTCCACACGATTACGAACACCCAAACCGCGCACTGCCAAAAAAAACATTCCAAAACATCCAAATCCGAAGTCCAAAGCATGCTCCAATGAAGTCCGGGCTTACCGACTGTCGTGCCAGACATTCCTGTTTGTTCCGACTGAGGGAATCTGGCATCCCTATAGATTTCCCACGCTAGTCATGTTGACGCCAAGGGTAGTCAGTGGCAATCACATCAATAAAAGACTAATCATCGTGCTACCAAGTACTGTTCTCGTGATGGGCCTGAACCACTTATCTGGCGTGCGGGCCAAACTCGTCAAAGACTCTTCTGAAACACTGCCAGCCAGAGCTTCAGGACTGAGCAGAAGTCCGTGCATAACTGGAGCTAGAGCACCAGTAGAAACTGTTCTGAATAGGAGCGGAGTAGTAACTACAAGCATCCCGTGAAGAATGTTGAAAGACTGTTCGGAATACAACCCCAACTCAGGGTAAACCTGCCGAAGCGCGCTAGACAGCAACCCCTGCCGCCGTAGCCTCGACCGAGTCCACACGTCAACGACTTGTGGCAGTGCCTCGCTATGAATAGGGATTCGAAGACTCCGGAAGGCTTCCTCAAGCATCGGCCTGTCTTGCAGAGTTTCCCTTCCTTCATTATATGAGAAGTGCTTCAGCCTAACAGACGACCTCAGAGGAAAATGCCACATTGTTTCTTGCCTCAAGACGTGTAGCGTTTCAGGCGAAGCATGGCGAAGCTCGAGAACATCCAACTGTCTGATTCCCCGTGCCGACACTTCTGGCATGCCGGTGAAGGCTTTGATTCCGGACATCTGGCTCAGGCCGCGATTACTGCATGGCACCCTGCCCCTTCCACAAAACTTATCCGGAACAAGATTATCATGTCGATGCTTGAGGGGTACGTCCGTGAGTCAGGTGATGTGCGGATTGACGCTGGCTCAAATGGGCGCATAATGGCCCACAGCCAGGTTTGCAACTCTGCTGATAGTTCATCTCCCCAAACTCCGAAATCATGTGCTTGTCAACTCCTTTCCCTCAGCCCTTCCTGATTCCTCCCTGCCCTAGACCTCGAGACTTCGTCCGGTGCTGCCTGCAAGCCCTGTCAAATTCGGGAATCAATGGTTGCTGCACTCCAAGCGGCATCCTGCATCCAGCGCTGTCCCGAGACCTGTCGTTAAGCATCTGCTATTCTGTGTTTCCATGAGTTCTCGTGCATTCTCGCATGCAGACATTTTTCAGACACGCTAGCTCGAAACATCATGGCCTTCCCTGCTCTCTCCACCTATCGTGTCTTCCCTTCAGAAGCCTCTCCCTGCCCCCCGCCAGCTCCTGCCTGTTTCAGCAGGCCGCCCCGGACAGATGCGATGAAGCGACAAACAGTCTGGTGCCTGCTCACGAGTCGTGCATTTGGCGTCGTGAAGAAGAAGCGGCTCAGTGTGCTTCATACCTGATCCACGGATTCACCTGCCTGGGCCCTAATCGACAAGCAAGCAGTTTGCAGCAAGATTCCAGGCTTTCCCTGTTTCCGCTTCGGGGCCTGGGCCAGAACTTCCTCTGGCACTCACGGCTGCAGAACCGGACGCTCTGGCAGGAGCTGCAAAGGAAGAGCTCGTGCGTGGCTGATGTCGCCTCCCAATGACGGCGTTAATAGTCACTGTAGGAATGCGGTACGGTGTCGTCCGTTACAGTCGATTCCTTTGTTTGCGAAAGGCAGGGATAAAACCGGGGAGCCATCGAAGCTGGCAATGGCCCATTCAAATCGACACGTGGTGACTGATGTCAATGGGTTCTCTTGCACTTCCATGATCGATTCGGTAAACACTTTCAGAAAGTGTTACGAGCAGGGCCGCTTTCGAAGCTGCCACTGTGCATAGGTTTCTCATGTTTCTCTGAAGCTTTGATGCTGCGGTCCCTGACATGCGTTTGTGCGATGGCTCCACATGCTCGAATCTGAATTGGAGCATCAGCTTACAGAAATGGAGCTATGTTGCAAAGGCGCGTCGCAACAGCGACATGGAAGGCTTAGGGAGGGTCTCCTGTTGGCACATGACACATGTTGGATTTCCGAACACATACGCATATACGGCTGAGACTACAAGCACGTCACACACCGGGCTCGAGGCTGCAGCTGTTCCTGTTTACTTGCCTGGTGTAATTTCGCCACAAGTCCTACAGTAGGGTCCTAGAGTTAAGAGATTCTGTAGCACTTTGCTAGCCACAGACTTACAAGAAGCCTGAAACCGTTTTTGGCATGTTTTGTCGCTCGGGTTGTCATCCTGTCGCTCGGTTTTCTTGAATCTGCCGAGACTTCCCCACGAACCCCTCCCCGCGAACCGTCCGCGCAATGACAACAAAACATCACAAGCAAATGACAACAAGCTGAGCACACCAACATGACAACAAGAACAGCAGAAAATAGAAAGCCTGCCACAAATGGCAAACCGATTGTTTTCAGGATTCCCGGCTTCCCCCCGCACAACCACCCACACCTGGACCGCCCCGACCCGCCCTAATTATGTTGTCCATCACCCCAGATTCGAGGCTAAAGAATTTCAGAATCCTGGAGTCCCAGGCTTTTCGATGACCAACCCGGCGACAACTCCTCAAGTCTTCTCCAGGCCTTGCATACCGCGCAGCTATAAGGGCTGTGGAGCAAGGCCTTGGAAGCAGAGTGCACCGAGTTCAACTTGTCTCTCTCGCCCGCTCTTCCCGCCACAGACCCAACCGTCGCATCCAAGGGCGCTGCCAGCGTGTGGGAGCTAGACGTGGTTGGCAGAAGGGCGCGCTGTGTCTGAGCAACCAAGCATGTCCGGTGAAAGCTCAGATGACGCAGGAAGTTGATCCTGAAGTTGTGAGTGTTTTTTTTCATGGGTCTGTCGGCTGTACACGTGTTTCAACATGTTTGGGCGACGCACTCTGCCATGAGTATATGTGCTAGAACCCCGATCACTGATCTGAGATGCCCTACTCGCAGCTGCTTCTTCGCCTCCTGCAGCCCAAGTCTGCAATTTTGAGAGATTGAGCATGCGAGGTTGCATCATCCGAACCTTCGCTTGCATGGCTTCACAGTACTCAATCGACGGAGCCTTCTGCTTGACGACAGCTCGAATTTCGGAGGCTTCCGATTGTGAAGTCTCCTTCGTCAACGACGGATGTGCGCAAAGCAGCAGTCTCAACACAGGAAACGCATCTGATAACGTCACGAGGCAACAGAAAAGAAAGTTGGTGCATTTCAAGGACGTGTCAGGGCACTCAGGGTCCAGGAAGAGATCGCAGGCCATGTGAAGCTCTCAAACCCGTCCTCCTTCTTTTCCAGCTTTGTCTCCGCCCGTGCCTGCAGAAAGCATGCCCGTGCTTGTAACGAAGCCTACCAGTGCGGTGGCGCAACGTGAGACAGTGCAGGCTGCCATGTCCAACGCATGAGATAGCGCAAGCAACAGATTCTCGGCTTTGTCTTGTTTGGGTGAGGCATGCTGGCGACTTGTTGCGCAGCCCTAATGCCGCAGGGCCTCTTCAGCAAGACCACTGAGAGCCATTTTCATGAACGCCTGGGGCATCCACCAAACACTCGATGTACCGCACTTATCTTCCGTCCAGTCAGCAGCTACCGCTAGTTCTGCCTTGGCCTTCTACATATGGCAGCTTGGCTTTACCCTCACCTCAAGCAATGCAACATGTTGCATCATGTTGTGTTTCCGAAACCGCTCCTGCTTGTTGGTGGCGATGATCCTGCAGGAAAACTTCATCAGCCACAGCAGCCATCGAACGGAAAGCTGTGTAGACAACTCAAAGAAAACCGGCATGTCAGCTCGTCTAGTAGTTGGTACTACTTCTCGGTCAAGCAATCACCGCCATAGATAAACAACGCCGCTGTGAGCCAATCGCATTGGAGGGCCTCATCAGCAGCGGATCCTTCGTTTGCATCTCCTCCAAGAAGTTCTCCAGAGCCTACGAAGCGGAATCCCTCAACTCTTCTCCCCTCTCCGAGACGAGCCGGAAATGCGGCTGGAGGGCTGCCCAGCCAAGCCGGTCAGATATTCTTAATTTCTAGTAGCAGTAATGCAGAGACATAGAGGCACGATCAACACCAAAAAATAACGACTACACGACTTCAACAGCTCACTGGACACAACAGCAATGGGATCCTCTGAACCAAGTCATTCCAAGCGGTCGCTCCTTCATGTCCTGGCGGAGATGTCTGCGCAGGGCTTTCAGTTCTTCGCCTGCCACAGCTGGGCTGTCGCAAGCTTAAGTCCAACATCAGTATTCAGGGGGCGACATGTCGAGACAAAAGGCTGCAACGATCTGAAAAGTGGGACAATGTCGATGATTGTCGAAACATGTCGAAACGTTCGTCGTCCTGGAAAGGACTATTGCAACCTAAACCTGAGCCCAAACCTCAGACGCTTGCCAGCATGACACATGCCAGGGCTGCTCCGAGCGAAGCGTGCTAAGACTTCCTGCTCTTCGCTGGAGACGTGCAAAGTCTCCTCTCTGCTTTTTGCTTACGCTTTGGGACCGCAGCACTGGGGGCTCAGGTTCGGCACATCGTCTAGGTGACTCGGGGACCTTCAAGCTGCGGCCTTCAAAGAGTCAGGTCCACCCATCACCGTGCTTCCGCAGTGTCTGCTACAAGTATCACTAAGTTGCCTCAGAGCCTTGTGGCCTTGTCCGTGCACTGATGGAAGCGTGCCCAGCGACATGCGACTCGCTTGCAGGGCTCCTCTGCTTCTTGCGCACCTGCCGGTTCTCCAAAAAAGATGAGATGTTACTTGTCCAACAGAGAAACATCAACACAGAAGCACATTGAGCACGGAATGATGCTGGAGTTCCGCCTCATCCACGGCACGATTGCAGCGCAGAGTGGGAAAACGATCGTCAGCATGTCTGCTGGCCGAGAGACTTCATGCTTTTGTGCTTCCCAGAATCCCAGAAGCGATCACACCGCTATACCCATTATACCCACAGACACCCTTCCGAGCCTTGCGGCGCCAGCGCTCGCGCCTTCGCCCTCACTGGCGTGGCAGGGCCTGGCGGCACCTGGCAGCGGTGTAAGGGGCTTGGAGTGCTGTGTAAAGGTCGTCAGAGCTTCGGGGGCTTCGAAACTTGGCTCCAGGTCAAAATCATGGTCCCTTGCAGGCTCTCCGCCTCAGGTGGCCGCGCTGGGTCCGGCAGGTCATTGGGCTTCGGCCGAGGGGCGTTCGGCCAGTACCTGGAGATCTCACCTGAGGATTCCAGGCATTGGCAAAACCCCGTTGAGTTTGAGATGAAGGCTCTGGGAGTGTTCGCGAAGCACCAAGGCAAAACCGAGGGGTCAAAAAGGCCTTCTGATTCTGTTCGGAACAGGACTTTACCTAAGGAAGACTTGGGACAGCACTGCGAGCTCTCAACGATTAAGAATGCAATAAACTCTGCACTTCGTCGCATGATGCAAACACATACACACTCAGGCACACACGAGCTTCTTTTTGGAATCAGTGCATGTCCGACAAAAGACCACCAGCAAATCAGCAGCCGCAGTCTTCCCACAACTTGCTGTCGATTTGACTCTTCGCGATCTTCCCCATGATCCGCACCAGCGGTTCGCTCCTCAAGTTACAACCACCGGCGCCGATGCTCTTTGCGAACTCGTGGAGCGACCAGAGGCTTGACGGTCGCCATCCGTGAAAGGGAGAAGCATCCGCAAAGCCGAGACACTGCTGAGAAATGCCTTGAAGCACGTCTGAGAACTCAGCACCTGAACAGGGGGACACCACAGGAGGAAAAGACGCGCTGTAGAGGATAGCAAGCATCGACACATGTCGATGCGACAGAATTCAGGTTTTGCTTCTGGCGTTGATTCAAATCTTCCCGCCAAATCCCCAAACCCTCCTTCGTCGGCTGGCCTGCGAATGCGACACTTCTGAAGAACCTTCGAGACTGGTGATGAAAACGATCTACATTCTGACAGATGTGAAGCTGCATTTCGAAGACTTTCCGAGGTCTATGGCGTTGAACCTCCGATCGACACCTGGAGCCTGGACTCTTCGACGAAAAGCTTACCGGTGGTCGTGCCATTGGCACTCGACATACAGAGACAGTCCAATGCCAAACGACGCCAATGCCGCATGCCTATCTGGCTGCACATCACTTAAGAACACTCCTTTTGCAACATCAATGCTTGCAGCACCTGGACCATCTCGACGATGGATTCAATAAGTATTCTTGTTCTCCCCAGTTGATTGCACAGCTTCAGTGACAGCTCACCCGTCTGCTCTTGAGAGCTCAGTGCAGGTCCAAACGCATGCCAGAGCCATCCAGAGAGGATGAAGAGGGACAGCTCAGCCGCTTTCTTGCGCTGTGGCGCTGGCGCCCGGGCTCCCAGGCGCAGGCAGAGCAGCTCATGGTGGCAGAGGAGTACCACACGCTGCAAGACCGTGTCCACTTCGTCCACTTCCTCACCTTGTGCCGCCCCCCGCAGCTGCAAGATGAAGTCCGGGCTCGGTGCCGTTGCCAGGCAGCGCAGCAGCAGTTCCAGGCTCGCTACCCTGCACTCTTGGCGCTCCAAGCTGTCCTCTGCCGACTCTGCAGACTCTGCAGTCTTCACTGATGGAATCATCAAGACGTTGGCCACTGCTAGGAGGACGTTCTCGTCCGTTTCTGCCTGATGGGCGAGAGTAAACAGACTCGGGCTTGCCATCAACACTTCCAGTAGCCGCAAGCTGGGCAAATGAAGGCTGTCAGGTGCTGGATCCTCGCAGATCAAGGCGAAAAGCGAAGGCTTCTCCAGCACTGGTGACAGCACTGCAAACAAGGTGCTAGGGAGTTTGCTGGCAGCCTCCAACAGAGCCACAAGAAATTCGCGTGCGCAACCTTCCCGCAACAAGGCCTCCTCTTCATCAGAGTTTGTCGAGTCAACAACGGCTGAATGGAGCACTGCAGCCATGGCAGAAAAGAGGGAGTTTGTCGCGTTGCTGCCTTTGACGATTCTCTCGGCGATTTCTGGCAGGTGTAGAGGGAAGAGTCCGAACCAGTGCTTCAAGAAAGTCGCTCCGGCACTCAGAGAAGCCCACTGGAAATTATCGAGCCCGCCACGCAACAATGCCGCTGCTGCACAAGATGCCTCGTGTACAGATTGGGGAGCTTGGGGAAAGCTCGTGACTGCGGCTTGCAACGCGAGGCGCTGCCTCTCACAACTGCCGAAACGCTCAGCAAGGCCAACGAGAATCCCGACATATTGCTTGCTCATGTCCTCATTCATGGGCTCGTCGCAGCTGCGATGTTCTCGTATGGAGCGGTTCCTTGGTTCCTGCTCCTCCCCTCCCGACTCCAGCCGGGGCTGTGGCTGCGGTGCAGGCTTCGACTCGGCATGGCAAATCTGGTCCTTGGCAGGTTCCTCGACAGCCCGTGCCTTAAGTTCTTCCATTTCCTGCTGCATCTTTTGCACCGTGAGTCTCAAGCGTTTTCGTTCGTCCTCCGAAGAAATTAAGTCCTGACGGGCATATTGCAGCTCGCCATGGATACGCTCCAGTTCTTGACGCTGCTGCGACTGCTTGGAAGGGCCAGAATCCTTTGCGGAGGCCAGCTCATTCTCCAAGCGAGTATTCTCGCGCTCGGATGCTTGCAGCCGGCTACGCAATATGGTGACTTCTGCCACCTTTGTCGCCAATTCATCGCTCAAGTTGGCGGCGACATTTCCAGCAGGCGCAGCAGCGAAAGGGCTTGTTGCCCGTTGAGGAGGCCACTGCGGAATACCGGAGGGCGGATACATGGCTCAAGGCGATGCTACCATTGCGTCAAGCCTCAGATGCCCTCTAGAATCCTGACTCATGGCAGGACTGAGTTGAACTCTCGTGCCCAGTTCCGCTGGCTCCTGTCCAAATCTCATCCCATTCATATTCAACTCATGGCTTGAATCTTCGATGGCTCAGGATTTCAGTTGAATCTCGGACAGCTCCGACCGACGAAGCGAAGAGCGCTTAAAGAAACAGCTCCGACTCGGAGGTGAGCCCTGCAGCCTGGTGAGAACAACTCTTCGCCTGAGCAGTCACTACTCCCCACACTCCCATAGGCGCCTTAATAATCAGAATAGGATTTTGGGGTATATTGTACTATAATTATGTTTTGGGGTATATTATACTATAGTTATAGTTATAATAAGGAACTCCCAAAACCCTATTTTCCGATCACGAGGACGATCCTCTCGCTTCTGCTCAGCCCGCGGCCAGGCTCTGCAACGACCCTGTCAAGAAACTTCATGAGTTTGTGACGCACCAATACACTTGCCCACAGGCTTTGGACAGAGCCCCGGATACGCTATTCACACTTGTTGTGGGTTTCTCAGGGTGCCAAAGCCCTCAGCAAATCTGTCGACCCCCGCTTGGACGGGGCGGGGGCAGAAAGGGACGAAGACGCACAGAAAACGCACGACGGGCCCAGGCCCAGGCCAGGGGACGCTTCTGGCGCCGGCGGTCACTAAGGCGTTGGCCGGGGACCAGACAAGATATTAGTTCACATGCTGCGAAGATCTGCGAAAAGAAGAACCAGGGACCCAAGGGTAATGGTGCTGCTTGCAGCCACAACGCCTTCCAGCCGGAAACGTGAGCGGTATTTTTCGGTCTTACGACTCCTGGGACGGTCTTGCTGGCGAACGAACGCACGAGCACCGACAAGCACGCATCATCACTTCTCGGTAAGTCTAGCAGTCTCGCGAATCGATGCAGCGCCTAACCTGCATGATGCAGACACTGCGCAAGACCCTGCACAGGTAGATTTCGGGCAAACCGCAAGCAGTGTGAATTTCACGTTTTGCTTGCCAAGCCTTTGCTGACAGTTCCGGGATGTGATTCGATTTCGTGTCCTTGTGCAACCGTTCCAAGAGTTCAGCCTCAAGCTCAGAAATCCCGCCGCAACTCCCAGAACCGCAGGCCATTCAACACACCGAGCCCATCACACCGCGACCCAAGTACTCACCCTAGGCCATACTGACCCCAAGTAATCCCAAAACTTTCGACCTAAAACCGAAGCCCTGAACTCTACACCCAAAACCGGGACCGCACTGAACTTGTAAAACTCTTATTGCAGGAATGCGTTGTGTTCATATTTGTGGGATGGGGTTTAATTCCTCCACCACAGTTCTGTAGGTTGGGCTGCAATGGCCACTCGCCGTACGGCGCCCAAAAATCAACTGCCTGCTCCTCGTCCCCCTCGCAGCTGCCGCACGCTGCTCGCGAAGCCAGAAGCCCTGCGGGCCCTGCGCATGGGAAAAGCAAAGCGATGGAGCTCGATCTGCAATGATGAAGGGTCTTTGGTCTGAAGGGGCATTAAACAAGTAACAACAGTTGTTGTTTTAAAGTATGCGAGTTGGGAAATGTACGCTTCTTGATACATTCATCCTGGAGCATGCAAGTGTCACGACCTTGCCTGCATCGCGAGTGCAGCCGCGTTTGGGCGTGTGTGGCACGAAGGAGCTAGGTAATGGGATGTGTTGCGGTTGTTCCGTTGATTACTGCGTGCTTTCGTGCCTTGGATGGCCGAGCCGGGAGTTTCGGGGTCTGGACTGTCCGGGGGCCAACGGCCTGGATGACATCGGGCACTCGGATTTGAAGCTCGCGTTTGACGCATGTCAATGTGGGACTCCATTAACTGACTTATTGCGCTCTTCTTGCGCCTTCTTCCATATGTAAGCCTGACAGCTGCAGGAACAGTTGCAAACATGAGCACGGGTAACCACGGAGCTGTTAGCTCTTGCATACTCCCGTCGCATAAGTATTTTAGATGCAGATTCATCATGTAACTTGTGTTCTTCATGGCAGACAGCATTACAAAAAGGGCCCAGTCACACTGCTTGAGGTCTGCCCGGCAGTGGTCATGTCTTCTGAAACTATACAGATCTACTCTGAATATCAGACACGACAGAACCCGGAGAGCTCGGATCTGAGACCTCAGGAGCCTTTCGGAGAGGTGGGGTGCACCAAAAAGGCACATGTTTTGGACCGCAGAACTTCTCATGCAGTCTTGGTGAAACTTGGTGCCCAGTGAGCTTCTTGGGTTCAGGCAGTTAGATAAATCTAGGCCACTGTGACAACAGCTCTGAGAACGCCAACTGCTCACCAAAGGCTAGGTATCCTTCGGAGGCTTCTCTGGCACCGAGCCTGCAGAGTTGGGAGGCTCTTCCCAATTCTCCTTGGCATTTTCTTCACGCTTCTTGGCATTCTCGTAGGACTGGCGGCAGACCATGGTGCAATCCGCACGTCCCCGCCCCAAACGAACCTCCTGCAATGGTCTCTCCCCGCGCCTTTACACACACGTACACACCAAAGCTGGCCAGAAACCTCAGAAGCGGCCGGCAAGTCCGCTTCAAGACGAGTCTGTCCATGCCGTGTCTTTACGAGCTTCGCCTACGTTTGCCGTTGCAGCACCACAGTGGATGCGAGCACCAACAACTGCGGCCGGTTGCCACACGGCTAAGGTAAACTTCTCGCGGGGCGCGCGGACACAGATCGCCCAGCATACTGTTGATTTCTGCAAACATGCTGAAGGGCTGAAGCAACCACGCGTGTGACCAGCAATCACACGGACTATTGAAAGTATACTGTCGTATGCAGCTGCTCATGCATCGTACCCCTCACAAAACCTGGATGAAAAAGCCGTGCAAGCACCGTCTAGCCAGCAAAGCAATCACATCCAGTTTCAGAATACATCAGATCCGGGCGCTGCGACGCCAATGTACAGCTCGCTCCGCCTTACCCCAGAAATCGCCGTGCCCTTGACAGATAACTACTTGTATGAGCATTGCATCTTGCACACTGTCCCTTCGGGCAGTTCATACATTATTGAACTAGAGGCCGTTTCCAACAGTCTCAGTCTATGCAGCACATTGCTACGCATGCGTCATGAGTCAGAGCCCCACATCACGGTCAAACATGCAAGCATGTCGAATCTACAAGTCTGCATCTCTGCCGTCCCCTGCCTTCTGGGTGGAAACATGTTGCCGAGCATGGAGAAGCCCACGATGATCACGACGAGGAGACTTGGTCGAAGCCGCTCCAAGGCGGACAAGCTACGGCCCAGCAGTGGAAGCTCAAACAACCGCAAGAAGGCCCCGAAGCAAATTTCAGCATGGCAACGCACAGGCGTCGAGCATAAGCTCCAGTAAGTTGTCTCATCATTGATCGCAACACTGCTAAGGACTGCTGATAGTCAGGGCGATGCTGAGGCTCTGGCACATCAGACAGCGCAACAGTATCCTTGGCCCAGGCTGACTCATTGATAGCTTCGACTCGTTTAAGTCCCAGAAGCAGTCCATCAACTAGTGGCAGTTGCGAGGCCGCGAGTTGATGAGTCGTTTTGCGCAGGACCATTTGCTTTCCAGATCTTGTGTGGGATCCGCAGTTCCGAACGAGATTGCGACTCTCCTCGCACAGAACTGGAGATGTGCCCAATGCTCAAACATGCCAAGGTTCGTAGAATTCTTGCCGCGCTTCTGTGGCCGCCTTTGCCCTCGCAGCTGGTGAAGCGACAAAGGGTACCCAAGGATCTCGGACCATGTCTTTTTGTGAAATGCACTGGCAAACATGCAGAAGTCGCTTCAGTCGATGAACGTTGGAGATGTTGCTTCGTAGCAAGGGCAGCTGTTGAAAGCTTGCCAGGAAAACGCCCACACATTGTGCACTGGCCTGGCTTTCATTGCTGGGTTGACCAGGAAAGACCTCGACCACGGCATGGAACGGTCCGTGACGCGGCACTTGGGGCAGTTGCTCCAGGTCATGGTCGTTTGCAGACTCATTCAAAGACCATCTACGTATGTATGTATATATGTATGCATACGTCGTATGTGCATGTATGCATGCAGGTATGTCTGTCGCGGCACGTATGTATGTATGTATGTATGTATGTATGTATGTATATATGTACGTATGTATGTGTGTGAGAGTTGTATGTGTGCATGTTTGTAGCATGTAGGATGCGACGAATACACAAGGGGCATTACGACGTGTTATGCTTCATGGCATAACAACAAATTGCATGAATTTCTGCGAGGCTTGAAAACTCGACTGGTTTAGATTGCACTACATCAAAATAGGTGCGTTGTGCGGTCTTCCATTCTACTAAGCTATAATAGGCATTGTGAAACAAGTAGTATTCTGGAAATTTGTACCATAATAGCACATCATAGCATGCTCTAGCACATCATGATAAATGAACGACTCATACTGTATCATGTAACGCACATTGTCACATGTTGTGTTCCATCATATTGTCATATCAAACTGTGTCATAAAAACCATGTTTATTCTATCATGTCGTATCATATTTGCAAACCTTTCTGACGCCCGCACCGCCAGGGAAGTAGCAAGGTGCAACCCTGACCTTCGATCCCGACCAACAGTGCATTATAACATACTCTTTTGCGCTATATTATACTGTCTCATATTAGATTGTAGTATACGATACTACGGTGTAGTATATCATAAAACAGCATGTTACGTTTGTTATGCTACCTTACGTCATGCTATATCAAACCTTATCATATATCATATTCTAGTATGGTACAGTATAATATGATTTAGTGTAGTATACTCTAGTATAGCACAGTATAGTACGGTTTGGTATATCATAGCATATAGTACAGCATAGTATAGTATAGTAGCATAGCACAGTAAAGTACAGTATGGTGTATAGCATCGACTATAGTTAAACATGTTACGTCTCATCATCTCGCACTATATTGCATAGTTCTACCACATCTTACATGTACTTATACGCGCTAAGAGTTTTCCCCCAATGCTGCGCTGAAGTGCGGAGCCTGCGATGGGTTGGACGCCTGTACTAAGCAAATTATAGCACAGCGCGGGACACCTCAGAGACTTCTTCCGCTGTGTTGGCCCTGCCATTGCTTCGAGCGTGGTTTAAGGAGCCGGGATTTTCGCGGGCAGCCGTCAAGGAGCGTCTCGGGGGTGGGCTGGAATCTGCACATCGCACTTTAACATGAACTGGGAAGAGTTCTGGGCTCAAGTCACTTGCTGTGTCGTGGGGTCTTGGATTGAACAGCTGTGAGATCAGATGTCTGCATGAAACAGATCGATGCTGCGAGTTTGACCATGCGCCCGCTGCACAGGGAGATGTTCAAGCTCAGCACGAGCTTTTGCAGTTCCAAAGCACATTTCAAATTCCGTAGCGGGTGAAACCCTGGAAAGGATCCTCAGCCATGCTTGTAGATGAGAAAGCCGGCCTGCACAGGAGAATAACGACGACCTCAAATTGAAAATTAGATGTGGGATACGTCAGGAAGCCCTGGCAGACAAAAGACTGGGGAACACTCATTCAAAAGATCTGATCTGGCACGGGCATGTCCATCCAAGCGGGCAGTCTGGCGGGGACGGGCCTGCCCGATGTGGAAGTAGACGAGCTTGTGCGCCTGACCGGGTACCTACCTAGGTGCTCCGAAAAACATCGGGTCGACGAGGAAGCTCTGGGCAAGTCTCTAACCTTGGAGGAAATCTGGCTGGAACCTGGGAGGTGCTACTGTATGTGCGCCTCGATTTGCACTTCTGCTTATATTATCAAAAAGTTCTGTTTCCTGAAGGTGTGCAGGTGCTTTCTGCGCTGCCAGGCAAAATGAGAAGAAAAAATCGGCTGTCTGCACAAATACTTCTGAAACTCTTTCAAACAATTCTAGCTGTGGTGAAATTGCACAGCGGCGCAGGCCCAGGAGCTCAACATCTAAGCCCGGACTCCCTCACAATGTGTGCTAACCCCGGCAAGAGAGAAGAACAAAAAGTTCTCCGCGACCCCTTCATTTAACTTCAACCGTGGGCCGACTTGAACAAGGTCTCCGCGGCGGCCGGCTTCAGTTTCCTCCTTTGCTTGCCGTCCTGTTCTGGCAAGCTGCCTCAATCTTGCCATGATGCGGCCCACCGACGGCAGTAATAGTGGTTGCCGGACTGTTGACGACAACATACAGTACTGACCAGTGACCAGATGCATGGCACCTAAAGATGCGAAAGCATTGACAATCCAACTCCACAGGCCTCGTAGGTGACCCACGCTCCAAAGTGCTTGCCAACGAAGACATGCCACGCACCCTGGAAGGCCCTGGAGTCACAGAAAAAGCTGTATGAAGCAGATCTCCGACAAGATTCGGATTGCAAGTAACACTAGAACGACGAGCTGGCAAGTAATCATGTCGGAAGGGCTTGTCGAACTCTTTCTTGATGAACTGAGCAACCTGCCGAAGGGCCCTTCTTGTGCTTCAAATCAAATCCGGTCACCGGCCATCAGAGGACTTCCGAAAACTTCTCACTTGGCCGCGGCATTGCAGCAGACAAGCTCTGATAAAAACCCCACATGGCACGGGCTACTCCTGGGTTCATCCCACTTACTTAGCGAGATGGTCATCAGCCTCCTCGTCCTCCTTTTCCTCCCGTCTTCTCGTTCACTCCCCATACCCCCCCTTACGTCACTAAATGTCACTACAGTTACTATCTCAGCAGTCACTCTTGCGCTGATATCGGCATCCCGAGCCGGCTCTCCCCCGTCATCGCTCCTGCAGTTGTGCCTGCTGTGTTATAGGAAGACAACGTACCCGATAGCTCAGACGTCAGTCTCACTACCATTATTTGGAGAAGATCCACCAAAGCCTGTTTCTGCTACATGTGTCGCAAGGAGTCTCGAGATAATGGGAGGGCCTCGCAGAATGATCGTCTCTCGTTCTTAAACAGCGAGATCACGCCTCCGTGGGTCAAGGCAGGCTCGCTTAAAGTCTGTGGCTTGTGCCACAAAGGGCCCCTGCGGCCCGACTCCATGGCAAGTACCATAGAATCTCCGAGAACGCGGCCCTTCTTCGCCACCTCTATGGCAAAGTCCACCTGCTGACCAGTTTCATGAGTGTAGACCGAACCTGAAGTCTCCTAGTGTTGACCTCAATGCAGGGGTGTGAATCTGAAAACCACGAAGCTCTGGCTTTGTGGCCTCGGCTTTACTCATGTCGGTGATGTGCATCTCTGGCTTTGGAAGCTCCGGCGCATCCTGCGAACGTGCGAGACAGGGGACCTCATCTTGACCTACTCAATCGAAGGCACAAGGCCGCACAAGGCACCACGATGCAGGGAATGCTGTCCTTGGCGTTCTGTCCACCCTGCGCACCGGCCTGCGGATTCGTGGCGGCCGAGGCTTAGAGAAAGGGTGGGCGGACAAAGGGGGTCGCTGGCCAAAGCAGCGAAGATTTTAACTTCAGGTAAATCCCAGCGGTTGAAATCTTGCGACACGAGGTCAGGTCCACGAAGTCGCTTGACGACGGAGGTCCGAAGTGCGCGAGTTCTGTGCGGCCCTGTTGGCACGTTGTTGCTGTACACGCGCTGATGCAAACATGTCTCTTTACTTCAAGTCAAGTGGAAACCATCTATTCGTCGAGCGAACAACCTGGGTTTTGCTGATGGTCAGTAGTAGAAGGGGTCTGTAGCATCCGAACATGAGTAAGACCAATGCCAGGCATGGACTGTCTCCGTCGAACCTCAACAGTTACGAATTTCAACTCAAACAAGACAGCAGCCTGGCTGCTCATCTCGTTCGTGCGACTTGCTGCAGCAAAACCTTTCGCGGCTCCAGCCAGATGCAGGCTGTGACCTGTACGAGCCGGCCTTCCAAACTGCACAATGAAGGCGAAAACTTCAACAGCTTGACTGGGACCCTAGGCCCTAGGGGTGGAGGGTCATGCCACACTTGTAGGGGCGCAAGGAGAGAAGCGGACGGGAGTCCAACTCGGGATCTGCCCAGTACACCTCCCTCCAGCCACGCAGGAATCCGTGGTAGGCAGGTGCCTGGTCGGCTTGGCTCCACCTCCCTACAGCCCACATCATGTCTGACAGGTTGGAGAGGATGGAGGCATTCACACCATGAGAGTGAAGCCAGCCGCCCACCAAAGGCCGCCGGAATCGCAAGAAGAGACGCCCTCCCCGCTTCTCGACAGAGGCATCCCAAATCTGCAACGAGTCATCTGGATCCGGGGCTCCGGAGTAAGCGCTGGCATAATACTGCTCCACCCCTCCTGTGTGTCCCAGAACAATGTCTGCGCCAGCCATCCCGAAGCGCTCTTCTCGACCCGTGCCTGCACTCCTTGCTGACTCACTGGAGGAGCCACCTAGTGGCCGGAATCCGACGGACACGTAGTCTGCCGTATCTGCTCTTGCAGAGATCTGGACATGCAATGACGATGTTGTCTCATGTAAATCCCACTCCAAAACTAGGCCGACTTTGGCATCCAAGTTGTAGCAATGCTGGAAAGAGCCTTTCGCCACTGTGCTGACTTCCGGGGGGGACCGGTAATACAAAGCAAAAGGGCAACTGGCCAGCGGAGTCAAATGCTCGTCCCGGTGCGTGTAATCACAGTCGAACTGGCTGCCGGATCCCGGGAATTGAAGGTCGACCGGCGCGATGTACGGTATTCTTTCCAGGGTTGCCCACACATGCTTTGTGTGCTGGTGGAACGGTGATCCCGCCATTGAGACCTGATACTGCAGTCTCTGACCGGACTCCTCCGCACGCAGGGTCCAATTAAAGCAGCCGCAGCCCTCCTCCGTGGCGGCCGTATAGCAACCAAGGGTTTCGAAAGGAAAGGGATGCTCGGAGTCTACGTAGCCGGGCCACTTCCTCGAACGATTGTCACATGAGCACGTCGACAACACCAAGTATTGTCCTTCCAAAACTCTTGATTGAAAACCCGTCCTCAAGCAGAAGGTCACCTCCCGTTCGCTCACGGTGTGCGCCTGCACTTGACACCAGCATGACACGGACAAAGGACAGAACCCTGCAGATTCGCTTACGCCACACCCTTGCTTCAAAAAAGCACCGAAGTGACTTCCATTCGAGCCAAAGCGAAACCAGCCTGTGACTCCTGAATGCACAACGATACGAGTCCGTGAACTTTCGGCTGCATTTCCAGCAAGCCTCCAAACCCTAGCATTTTCAAGCCGGACTACACTGAACCTCAAGCAGATGACTTTGGGACCAATCCATCACCGGTGTCAAGCGAAGCTACAAGTTGAAGTCAAAAGAGCTACAAGAAAAAGGCACCTGCATCATGGCGACACGCAATCGAGTCGGGTCTCGGGGTCCTGGGCAATGCAGCCTCGCTGAGGAGGAGTGCTGACTGTGCAGAGTGGAGGTGTCTCGGGGGTTGTCCTCTAGCGGCTGCTGAGTTTCTCACAAGTTCGAGGGATTCAGATGTTTTATGGGAAGAGACACGGACATTCAAGTGGCTTTCATTGTTTCATGACCTGCCTGCATCTACTTGCAGCTCGATCAAGCACAGCGAGCTGCATAAACCTCCACAAGATTGCCGAAACCAATGGCTCTACCACGCATACTGAATGACACCGGAGCTTGGAAAGAAAAGTACTTTGATTGCACTGTGCCGGCGAGAGTCAAGCGTCCGCGATCGTCGCCAGAGACTCTCAGGTAGGATCTCTGCCAGCTCCAGTACTTCCTCCAATCGCCGCAATAAAGTTACAGTAAGTAGAACAAGCGGCACGAAGAGTCTGCTACCATCTGCTACAGTACACCTGGTTCCGGCGACACGCATCCGCGTTTGCCGGATCTCTGACTTGAAGAAGCTGTGGTCACTAAGGATTTCCCAGGGACCCTTTGCTCCATCATCCATCACTTCAGGACAGCCCCGGTGCGGAGGTGTCTGCAAAGCTTTCGGAAGCCCTTTGTGCTAATCAGCGCCTGAATTTCGGAGAGGCATCGAAAGGTAGATTCGCCTGAAACCTGGGCTGCACTCACATGGCGTCAGATGCACTCACATGGCATCAGAAGAAGAACATCATAATCTGTAAACAAATGAGAGGATGAATGAGGATGAGCAAATCCGCAGGAGCAGTCGCACCGCCACCAGCACCGCCACCGATGCAGCTGACGCCATGCACAGCCGCTGCTGTAATGCCGGACGCAAACACTCGAACTGGTCCGGTCGAGGCCCTACTGACTGGTACTCGGTTGCATTCGGCCGAGCTGCAGGTAGTCCCCCTGCGGCAGTTTCGTGATCGCGAACGTGAAGTTTTCCGACCAAGGTCCCACAACGCTTGCGTAGGGCACGCCCTGCCAAGTACCTGGAGTCATTATGACATGTCTTCCAGGCTATGAGGTGGAAGCACGGGAGCACATGCGGCTGTTCCGCAGTGGACTCGCCTTCGAAGCTGGGTGGCAAAGCAAACGGCTCCAGGTGAGCCGCCACCAGCGGCAGGACGAACCAGTTCCACCCCATGTTTAAGGTTGAGGACAGTGGAGGCTGGAGCCAAGCTTCGCGGCCGTCGGCGTGACGACATCAGGTTCGAGTGGTTACTATCGGAACCACTGCCTGACCACAAACTAAAGCCCCGCATAACGGACATCAAGAGGGAGCTGGGGCAGCTAGCCACTACCCGTTGAACAAGTCCACAGAACGACAATGGGATCGTGACAGCTCCTGCCAACAGGTCTTGCTCGAGTCCACTTGACCGGAAGCATTCCTGTTTCACGATGGAATGCGCCTGCGATTGATCCGCCATGAGTGCGCGGGCTCGATCCACACTGCGAGTTCACAAGTGCAGGTCAAGATTAGTATCGTCTCCATGTATGTCCCTCGGCAGTTTCGATCTTCCTGACTGGATCCGTCCCAGTTTGAGGGTGGCATGACTTGGGTTAGGTCGGTTAGGCTGGTCGGAGTCTGTTGTAGGAGTACTTGAGGGTTTGGGTAAGCTTCGGCTTGCATGTTATTTGCGTGCCCATGTAGATAGCGCTTCGAGCCGGCGGAGGCTGCAACTGCGAAGTCCTGCCAGCTTGCGACTGAGTCTCTGGATACTGGATGACTCGATACCTTTGGCATGTAAACCACTGCAACTTATCCACGACCCAAGTTTCCGAGCACCCAAGCCAGGAAGCCGTGAAGCCGTGAACCAGCTGACCAGTTTTGGAACGTCCTTCTACTTGCAGGTCTTTTGAAATCTTGTCTTCAAAAGATGCTATATCATCCCGTCGTTGGGGAGCAGCTGGACAGACAGCTGGCGCAGCGTCGCCCAGATAAACAGATAGCCAGCTTGACAAAGCCGGTTGGGGGTGCCAGCAAAGCACACATAGCGAAGTCTCGGTTTACGTTATAGCACATGGTAGCCATGTGGAGGCTTAGCACTATTGTCAACCTGCCCAGAAGGTCCATTGGCAATCCGAAGCTTGCGGCAGGCGCGAGTTTAAAATGCTGGCCTCCTCTCACACCACCCTTGTGGCGGTCCGGAGGCAGGAAGCTTGGTCAACGTCAACATGAGCTGTGTGGGTGGACGGACGTTCCGCGGCTGTTTAAAGGTCGCGCCCATACTGGTCCACCTTCGCAGCACCGGAATTCAGTTCTAGTCTCGAGTGATGGTTGCGACTTCGGAATCGCATCGCAACTGATCCAATGGAACCAACTCGCAAGGTCACACTTGAGTGAAGCGGGGAGCCTTGAAGGCCTCTTGGAACTGCTCGGCCTGCGGGCAACACGTTTGAGCCGTTCCGGCCAGGGGCAGGACGGGTGGGAAGGGATACCAGTAGCTTCGATGACTAGCGATGTGTGCTGGAAGGACCACAAGAGATGACGCATGCCTCGTCAGGTTCCCACTCGTCGAAGTTCATCAATCCCTCGAAGTCGCTGTCACCGAACCTTGCATCTTGCATCGCTGCGGGATTGGGCCATGCGAAAGCCGAATTCGTGGCAGGGACATCTCTCATCGGTCAATGCCCTGCGCTGCAGCTAGTGGGGGCGTGACTCGTCGAAGGTAGTGGCTGAAACCTGTTCAGTTCAGACTATCAGCAAGGCGTGCCGACGACGCTGGGAGCTGTGATGATCAATAGGTTTACCGGCTCGTGCCTTCTTCTTCATCAGCCGGGTGAGATGAGCATAATTCTGGGTGATGTGATCCTTGCTGCAGGTGCCATTGCTATTGACCTGCTGAATACATGACCTTCAGAGCATAGATTATGAAATCCCTGTCATGCTTTTGCAGTCCTGCCATTTCATGGGCGGCACATCAGGGTGGGGGACTGCCGTATAGTTGACAGGATCTATCGCGACACTGCCATCTGCGGACCTGGCGGCTTCTCCCGCAACGGTTGATTGTGTTGATACGCCAATGGCAGTGACAGAAGTGACGACTCTAGCAGAACCTGGCAATTGCAGATGCAGCAGCTACCTTCCCAGTGCCATTAATATCTGCAGGGACGTGAACACCTTGCCAGCGAGCGGTATTACCAACCATGAGAAGAGCACTTGGTCAGCTTCAGGAAAGCTCCCTTGTTATTGCCAGTGTCCAAGTAGTTCGGCGCCTGGGAGCAGAAGGATCTGCTCGCTGACATGTTCCAGGTCGAAACACATAGAAGAAAAAAGTCAAAAGACATCAGGTCAGGTACTCAGGCTTTGCATAACTTGCTACGTGATTCCATGCTGATTGACATGCCAGTCTTGGCAAGGCCTCAGAAACTCTCTGAGCCTGACAGAGAGGGGCTGAGGACCGGGCACTGAAGACGCTCAGCAGCTGCTTGTGATCCCACCTTGAAAGAAGCGGAGAGGTGTTAGGGCTGCCGCCTTGCCGAGCTGATTCCAAGCACTTCGTGCAAGACAGGAAGGCCTCCCTCTGACCCGACCAGAAGAAGGTCCCATCTCCCTGGCTTTAGCGAGATCCCTTCGCCGGCCTGTATCCATCGGCCTTCACCTGCAGTGAAAGGTTCCACGGAAAACCGAGAAGGTGCACCTTTGGAAAGAAGCCTAGACGATCTGCGTCCGACGGTCCGAAAGCTCTTTTTTGAATTCTCAACTCTGCCTCGTGTGACCGGATGATGCACTGCAGGTTGTTCTTCTCGCAGAAGGTGGAAGTCACATCGGGACCTCGGCAGTTATGCTGGTGCCGATGGCGATGACGATTGTGAGGGCAACGAAAACTGTCGATGATCAAAGTGACCGAAAGATCGTGCGATTCACTGTCGGTGATGTGGCGAGGCAGTGCGAGAATGGTGAGTGTAGGGGAGGGGCATGGGGGGGCTGGTCCGGGCAAGTGGCATCATTGCATGCATGTATGCATGCATACATACGTGCATACCTTCCTGCCTGCCTACCTAACAAGCCACCTTCCGACAGACAGACAGGCAGACAGATCGACAAACGTCCACACACGTACGTACTTCTTTTTGCACGTACGTGCAGGTACAAGGGTGTGCTTGGGTGTGTGTGTGTGTATATATATATATATATATGTATGTATGTATGTCTGCATGCATGCATGGATGTATGTGTGTATGCATGTGCGTATGCATGCGTGCAATGCATGCACTTATCTTGGATATATATATATATATATACATATATATGTACGCCTATATGTCATACGTAGATACGTATGCATGTACGATCATGTACGTGTAAAGTATCTAGTGCATGTGCATACGCAGGTAATACGTGTATACATACGTCATGGATGTACATGTGTACTTAAGTTTATACGCGTGAATACATGTGTGTATGCGCATGTGAAAGTATGTGTTTTTGTATGCATGTGTGTACGTCGTCCGGGGTCAGCAGTAAGGCTCGGACCAAACATGTAGACACCCTTGCCTTTTCTGTAGGAAGGGCCATACCTGAACAGGTGCTTGCCGACTGCTCCAGTTAGTTTAGCCAACGCCCACACCCTGGGGCCAGGGTTCGGACCCGTCCCCACCACGGGGATCTCCCCAAAGGATGTCGATCAGCTTCCTCATATCATTCACCTGTCGAGCTCAAGCACGCTTTCAGGCAGCCAAACCACGGCACGGAAGCCTATTGAGCACATCGTGACCCTGTCTGGCAAGTGCCATACATGCCAGCGAGCTAAAACTCGATTGCAGCACCTCCTTGTCCGTCGTTGTGGGGCCGATAGACTGCCCATACCTCCCAATTTGGGCAAGCCGTACAGAGCACCAAAGCTCATGCTCCACAACAAGACTCGAAAGGTCACTTCTGCTGCTTGCACGGCTTCTACAAGCTTGGAGCTGTAATCAAGTCTGAGCCCTGCTGGCACGATTCGGGAGTGATCTCCAGGTAGCGGTCCACTGAGGCAATCTCCTGGACAAATGCCCCTTGATGAACCCAACTTGGGCCAGGCGCCATGTTGCCACAGTGTTGCCACTCTCGAAAGTCAACCATCCATGCCAGCTTTGGCTGCTGTCTCCTCCAGCGTGGGAAGGGCGGTCATCGGGATCGCATCCGTGGGGTCGTGCCTCGACACCGGCTCAGGCTTTTCCGGGGCTGTCGACTCGGGAAGTGCCAGGGCCGGCACGTCTGCCCGGGCATCCAAATTCGGGGGTCCGGACCTGAGCTGGGCCGGACGATAAGGAAAAAACACGTGGGTGAAGTCTTCGTGCGTGTCGCATGCTGATGTGCTCCCAGCTCCCAAGATCTCCCAAGTACGCTTCTCAAGCACCGAACTTGGGAATGGCAGTGAGAGCAGGAGTGGTTTTCAGGCACCTCCTTTCGCTCAGGACCGAGCCGGGGAGACCGCCATGGAGAATCAACACCTGACAGCAAGAGATGAAAAAAGCGAGGCTCGTCGGAACCAGAAACGCTCAGCTCGTGCACAGACAGTCTTGAGCTGGGCGTCAGTAGAGCAACATCCGAGCTGTCAGTTCTCTCTTTCGAGCTAATCTGGCGCCTTGCCGTCCACCAAGTGGGCGAGAGGAAGATTCCGGAAGGCCTTCCCATCCCAGCGAGCTCCGTAATCAAGTGATCTCCCTTCGCACAACGCGCTGCCTCAGAGAAGAGGTTGAAGAGATCCATGTCCTGATAACGCAGTCTTGACAAGAACCTGTAGCTTACATTCACTTCGGACAGTGTGATCCCGATACGTGAGCCATCGCTTCGTCGTCTCTGGCCTACTTGCATGTCAAGGACATCTTGATCATTCGGGCTTCCGTGTTTTCGCTAGCAACTTGCTTTGGAATTACCGGCGGTCGTGCCGACTGAGACCCGCACATACTTGGAGCCGCATTCGCCGCAGAAGCCGTACAGGATGTTGGTCTCCTCACACTACGGGCACAAGAGCCAAGAGCAAGGGTCGTCCCAACAGCTGTGCGTACAAAATCCACAAGTTTTTGGGATGATCCTGTGAGAAATCAGACAACCTGTTGAATTCACAGAAGCCGGGTGTGTGTGCTGGCTGCTAGATTAGGCTTGATGTGCCCAACGTCTCCAGCATCTCGTGGTTTCCCCGGTTCAGGAAGACGGACTGCGGATCCTGGTCGGCGAGTCATGCAAGTCATGCCATGCACTTCGGTTTTGTTGTTGCAGCTGTCCCTCAGGGTAAAAGAAGTGATTGAGTGGGTGACATCGGCTAATCGCTGTGCCATGCGCAAGATGTGTAGGGACGTTTCCCGCAGCCTTCAGCTTCAGAGAGAAGATCGATAGGATCACCTGCCATGCGCTGAGACGGGCATGGAGGCCTGAGAGGGTCAAGCCACGACCCGCCTCGATGGACCAGGAGCCTCGATCCACGAAGTCACCGTTGAAGACGAAGGGCGAACTCGCCGAGGGCTTGCCCGTCTGAGCCGTGGCGGAGCAAAGGGGCTGAGGCCCTGTGAATTTCACCGTCGACAGCAAACCGAGAGCAGCCTCGACATCATGCTAACTCGGATGACGACAATATACGATTTTGGGGTCGACAATCTTTAGTTTTGGGACGGGCCAACTACGAGGAGTGGCTCGAACTGGCGATCCGTGTTGAGCCACAGCCAGACAGTCGACTCGGTTGTGCGAAAAGTGCGCACCCTGGCACAAATCGAGACAGCACGACTGCCCGGCCATGCTGAGCAGGTTCAAGAAGTCCCAGTACTGGCCGTGAAGGTCGCCGACCACTGTAAGCTGACCGCCGGCGGGAATGGAGGCCTTGGCTTGACCAGACGAGGCAAAACGGCCTGACCTCTGCATCAGCCGGCCTGGCCCAAGGTCTTTTCCGATCGGAGGAGATCGATGATGTCCAAGAGGATCAAGTACGCATCCTGCACGGAACGTTGTTCTGCCCATCGTGCCGGACAGTCAGGTAAGTCTCCTTCTTCGGCAGGAGCTGACCGTCCTTCTGCATGGCCAACAGACCCTGTTTTCAAGGACGGACTGAGAAATCCGGACTGACACTTGCGATGGTCATGCACACCTTCCAGCACTCAGCTCCGGACATCAATGAAGCCGTCGGTGATGCTGCCTGGGCCAGTGTAGCGCGGCCTGGTGGACAGGAGTGCAGCGGTGAAATCCCGTACCCAAGCTCATGGTCCCTCTAATAAAGGCGTCGATAGCTGCGGGCTTCAACTCTACAACACCTGGTTGACCCCCTGCCCGAAAGCCTGCAGACCCGTATTGGCTGAGGTGCAGGCCCGTTGTAGCCCGGAGGGTCCGGCATTGCCTGTGCACGCTGGCGTTCGCCCTGGGCACAAAGAGCGATGGACGAGAACGAAGACCAAACCCGGCAGGGTCAGCGGGTATGGCTGTCGCACGCCGCTTACAGGCGCGCTGTAAGCGCCGAGGAGAATCCAAGCATCTTTTTTTTGCGTCCGAGAGGCGGCGAGCTCAGCGGCAGTCCAGCCAGAAAGCCGCCTGTTAAAGCTCTAGTAAAGATCTAGGGTAACGATTCATCAAAACCCTGCTGCTTTGCAGCTTCTCTAAGGTTCGCTGTAAGCATGCCGGCCACTCGGCTGCCATTCACCACCCTGCAGGCAAGGGTCAGCTGTCTCCGGAATATGCTGGAAACACTCTGGAAACGTCCAACTGTCATGAAGTGCGATGGCACACCGACACATGCCGCAACGCGCCGCACTTACATCCTGCGTGGTGCAGGATAAGAGGAACTGAATGCAGGGGGCATGTTGCTTATAGCGCATCTACCCATAAGTGCATGCATGCGTACCTACCTGCCTACCTACCCACCCAACTATCCAGATACAGACATACCAACAGACAGACAGGCAGACTCACAGAGTGACTGCTGACAGACAAACAGGCAGAGACACAGACACACTGGATCACACTGGCAGGAAGGCAGGCAGGCAGGCGGGCCTGCCAGACAGACTGAATGACTTACATGAAACTGGCTCTATTTGCACGCATCCTTCGGTAACTGTACCAGCAGAGCGTTGAATCTGGCGGTGGGAAGTGGGAAGATGATGGGAAGACGACTCGAGGAAGCAATCATCCAGTGTTGCTGCTCTGGTGGGTCTGTCAGTCCAGCGCTTTCGACCGATTGAAACGTCTGAAGCATACTCAACGGCGGGCCTGCGCACGATGCACCTTCGGCGACCTTCCGATTTGCACTTGTGCTGATACTCTTGATGCTACCAGTAAACGTTACAACCTAGCTGCCTAGCTCCCACCGTTCTGCAAGTACTTACTAAGGCACCAGGTCTAGAAACAATGAATGCCCGACGGACCTGCAGAACCGCCGACACTTCCCGCAACCAATCCTCTTACCAACAAAGAAAGCTACCTATTTAAAGTGAACCTCCAAACAACTCGGCTCTTGAGCCCTTCTCGACCTCGCTGGCCGCGCCGCCCTCGCTGCGCCAGCGCCAGCGCCAGCGCCAAGTGCTGCCGAAAGCCCGACGGCCAGGACAGCATGCGACGAAGCACCTAAAGATCTCTTGACAGCTTTTGCCAGCCTGCACTGCATTACCATAGATGCAACGATGAAGGCAAACGCACATTCGCTGCAAAAACATGAACGTCCGAAGCCGGCACTTGAGGACGACCCAGCCGCTGAAGCCACACTTCCTTTAGATGTACAGTATGTACAGCAAAATCAAAACTGCGACCTAAGAACGGATCTTCATGACTTGTCTGACTCTGGCCATGCACACTACAACGTAGGTCTCAAAGTCTCTTCAATGCGCTGTACTTCATGCATGCTCATCGGACCGTCCTCGAGCGGTGGCACGGAATGACGGCCTGCCCAGCAATTTAGCAAGAGTGTGATGCTCGCGCGGATCCTGCATGTCAAGCACAAAGCTTCCACAGTCCTCTGCCGGCTGCTGGCAGTGCCCGGTGCTACAAACCTTCGAAACTTCAGCGATCCAGGCCAAACCCAGCTGCGCAAACCGAATCCACGAGTACAGCACAGTCTCGGCCCTTCCGAAGCCCCGACGCCCTCTCCAGCACGGTGGGCGCAGACAGCGCCTGGCACTTGGATCGTGAAAACAACCATGCGCGCCCGAAGTCCTTCACGGTCCTTCACGTCCATAGAGCATGGCAAGGCGTGTAACTCCGGAAACGACGCGGTCCATGGTTGCGTAGTTGGAAACTGAAGCTACTAGCTATTCAAGTGTTCCCGAGGGCCTTCTGCATGGTCACAAAGCACCAAACAAGGCCAAACAAGCAATCTGCTGTTCGGGGAGCGCACCATGAGGCTTGCTGCCCCCAAGCCGTAGAGCTCCCTGCGCGTGGGCATGGCCTGTTCCAAGGCGGGTGGTTCTGTGTGTAGAAGGCGCTCGGCTTCCACTGCGGTCTGCTTGGGGTGGGAAGCACCAGTCCCAACACTGTGAACCGTGGAAACGCCTCACTCAAACGACGCAGAGGAGCGGCAAGATTCAAACGCTGAAGCCAAATTACCGCGCGGCAGCTGCAAATACTCATGAGGTATGCAATTCGCATCGTTGTTCGCAGCCGGTCGTGTAGCTGCATCTTAACTTCTCTCATCAAACAGGTTTCAATCTCTGCATGTTCGCAGCCAAGCCTGTTGAGAAGCTGATTTCACATCGGGCTCGTGATCTTAATTAACGCCAGGAAGGCATCCTCAACAAGGCGCACTATCCTCCACCTGTGCGAGCCACGAGACGCTGCTACCTTTTTCTTCACGCAAATGGCGATCCGCAAACACCAGCACATGCTCTTAAAAGAGTGCTCAAGAGTGTACAGTTTGAAGGTTCTCATGTAAGGGCGTCGGGGAGTTGAACTCAGTTTCATCTGGTTGCATATAGCCTTTGTTTTTCCGAGATTTGCAAGCTCTCGATGTATAATAAGAGTGACCTGACCCATCATCATTCAGCTTGTTATCAGTTCACGGGCTGCTTCAAGTTGCCATCTGGAAAGTTTCTGGCGGGCGCATAGTAGAATGCTGAATTTGGCTTACTGCACATGTCTGAAACCTCTGTTACCGAGCCTGTGCCAGTGCTCACGGATCCACTAACGTCTAAGCAGGTATATGACTGCCTGCGGTGAGAAATCCCTGGAACCCGTGGATGGCTTCCAAGTAGCCCTTCGATGCCCGTTGAAGACGGCTCAACGCTGATCTTTGCCGTTCTTGAGCTATGCTGAGCATGTCTCAAATCCTAGATCGCTTAGCTGACATCAGGACGCTAATAAATTGCCTCTATGAGAAACGCAATCAGTGGAGCTCCAAGAAGCCCCATAGCGGGCAGAAGGACAAATTTCGATTCGGGTTGCCGATCTGCGTGTCCCCAGCAGTGCTACCCGGAACAAACAGACCCCGAAATGATGCAGATCTGCTCGCAGGGATCACTTCTGAGAGGAGCTCGATAGTGCAACATCTGCTGGCTGCCAATATTCCTCTCGTGCTTCTGTCATTGCTCCTGTATCTAGAGGGCTGCAGTTGCAGCTCGTTCCAAGCGTTTTCAGGTCTGTTTCCATAGATCGATCCAAGCGATGCAGAAGCATCACGCAGTCTTCTGTGATGATTGCCGACTCGCGAGCCAAGTTGGCAGGCTAACAATGATGTCCGGACTGGCTGGCAGTTACCATGACAGCTGTTTTCATCAGAATGGAACCTGTGCCTGTCAATAATAGTGACAATGCCTACATCGCAGACTAAAGCCTCGACTGCCACTCCATTCAGCTACTTGCATCCGACGCTCTGCTGTAACTGCCAATTTGGGTCGAGCGGCATCACCCAGGACTTCTACGTAGGCGGACGGAGCCCGCATGGAGGACTGCCCAGCTGACACCCGATCTGTGACTCTCCAACTTCAACAGTACATTCGTATGACCCACTATCCACGAGACTCTAAAACCCGCCTCAGTTCACTGCGCGGCGGAGTTCACAGCCCAGTATGCAGCGAGCCTGTGGGCAGGGAGTGCAGACGTGGCGACCTCAAACTTAGAAGACCCTTTGAAAAAACAAACCTCCGCTCAGACATCGTCGACCAAACCCAAGAAGTGCCTGATGAATGGATTCGGGACTGATGGCCTGATGATGATAGACATGATACGACAGCATATATTATCATTAAGTTATGATTCGATGGTAGTAGCTGTTCTTCCCCCGGCTCTGCACCGACTCTGCCCAAAGAGGGCACGTTCGAGCAGGCTGAAGTCAGGATCACAAGTAGCACTTTCGACCTCTACACGAAGTCGCCCCAGACCATCGACACTAAGAACAGGAATCATGATGACGAGCAGCCACAGAAATCATGACCCCATTAGTGGGCCAGTAGTGAATCGTGAACAAGACAAGGACGAAGGACTGACTACTGACAAGCCGCCTCCTCAGCGTTCAAGTCATTCGGGGCGGCCGGGGCCTCAGAACCCGGAGGCGACCTTAGGGCCGGGAGTGTGCCGGAGGGAGCAAGCTGCATCCGACTGGGCAATCCCCCAAGGTCTCCCCACCCAACAAAATAACAAACTCCTGAATCGAACGCAGACTCCCGAACCGCCTCTCCGCCCCCGCCCCAACCAGATCCGTCACATGCTGGCAGCGCACTCGAGCACGATGGCGATGGTATCCCCCTCTTCGATGCTGGCCTTTGACAAGCGGGGCATGGCGTTCGGGAATCGAGGCGCGAAATGTGGAATGGAAACACCCTGAAGCAAATCAGATTCACATCGCGAGCAGCGAAGGACATTGCGAATCACACACGATGCAGCATCGGCCGCCTTATCGCCTTTGGCAATCCAGGTCCACCTGTTCAGGGACCGACCAAGTTGAGAATGGGACCCCCAAACTATGTTCCTAGCGTGCATGCGCCCGATGTGTCGGCCGCCTAATGCTGCATACAGCTTCACTGCAGCAACTTAGATCACTCGCCTCGTTTGGGATTTTACTTACGACCCATGACATGCTCTGCGAAGCACGCAACGTTGAGAACCCGCGCACTCCACCTGGTCTCCCGGATCTTGCGAAGATGGTAGCCAGACTTTAGCCCGCTGACGTATGCCAAGGGGAGCTTCCTCGCAGGATCTCACGGCTCGGTTTGGATTCCCTACAACCCCGTGGCTTGTTTTAGGACTTCTACGCGTAAGCCATCGTAAGCCCGTCCCCTTCGTGACAGTACTGGCCGTAGTACCACTAGTATGGCTAGCCGCCACCCCCAATAGCAATCCCAGAAACGGAACCCGGCAGAGACTTGTAGGATTAGCTGGTGCTGATTAACCGGGGAAGCTAGTATGCCTCTAACCTGTTGATCGGTGAAGTACGGTTGTTCCTAGCAGTATGTCCATAATATGAGGCCAAATTTTAGAGATCTGCTTTTCTGTGTATATGCACAAGGCCACGTAGCGGCATGGACAAATGTACACATGCGTACTCAGACATGTCGTGGTTTACATTTACGCATGTACTTAGATGCACACATCTCTCTGTTTGTGTGAGCATCCGGAGGCTAAGCGCCCGACTCGTCTGCGTCCTGCTGGCTGTCGTTCCAGCAGCCCCAAACCAAAGTGGCCATCTCCATGCTGCCCTGCACCGTGATGCATTTAGTTCGCTTGCGCTTGCCACTCTGACGATACGCAGACCACCTCTGTCAAAGCATGGCAAAGCAAAGCACACGCCGGTAGACCTTATGACCTTATGATTGCTACAACCATCTGGATCTAGCCGATGACTCTGATGCCAGAGGATCCGCTCTTGCTCTCATGACACCACAACAACGGGTTCGGTGGCGAAGGCTTCTGTCACAATAGCCACGACCAGCACCCCAAAGAATCGACAAGTCCATTTGCCAGATCAAGGCAACCGGAGTCCTGCGTTGGCGCAATGTTGGAGGTGTCCGGCACCTCCAGGAGGAGGAACTCCCGACCTGCACGGGCCCATTCGAAGTGAAAAGTCGACCCACCTGCAAACGGTCTGTTCAATCATACGGACCCATCCTCAACATGCCTCAACTACTTACCCTTTTGCAAAACGATGAGGGACCGAGGACAGGGCTGACGAACTGAAGTACTGAGTTGGCTTTCCTCTTCGCTGCAGCAGGAAATTGCAGTGTCACCTCGATTCACGAGTCACTTTGGGCACGCTGCAGATGACGCGTGGACGTCTGGGAATCTAGGATCCGCACTCGCTTCTGGAGGTCTGCTCTGCCCAGGACCAGCCTAAGTAAACGTGATCTCTGCAATACCTGACGATCAGACATAAACCGAGCGCGTACCACAGTCTCTTAGTTGCCTTTCAGTCACAGCTTGCTGGTCTTGCTTACCCTGCCTAGTCAATACTCCCAAACTCTCACATGGGGAATCGTCGAGCCAGTGCCGACCAACGAAACTTCCAGACAAACACAACACCAAATCGAGCCTGACGTTCCCGGAATCGTCACCTGTCACTTTCGGAAATGATTTGAACTTCAGCCCGCTCAGCACGCACGCACCTTGGAGTCCTAGTCCCGTTGCTGCTATTACATGCCCCAGTGCACAAAGAGAACTCTCCAGAGTCACTCACACTCTGTCCGCAGGCCTAAAGAGGTGTCGTTGGACTCCAGCGAGGTCGTACTCTGGGCAACACCAGGCTTCAGGTCCTCCATGCAAGCTGCCGGTCCTAGATAGCCCTGCGACTATGTGCATACACGCACACGCCCACAGATGCATATGTTTATTTATATATTTATATTTATGAAAACACGCATGCAATGTGTCATGAGAATGTGGGCATGAAAAGCAAGACCTATGGATTCCATTTCCCTCACTCCACACAGTGTGTCCAGGGTCGTCAGCGTGCCCTGGTCACGGTTCTCGGCGAAGGGGGCATCCGAGACCAAATCCAAATGAAGCAGCGGCCGCCGCTCCTCTCAAGCTATGAGCGCATTCGGGCGGGTTCAGCACTGTAACGGCAATGCATTGTAGTCGCGGTTCAGTGCGATCATTCTTCAGGTTTGTCACATCTATCACGTGCCCTTCTCAGAAGGCCTCGGTGCCCGGCTGCTGCGTGGAGCTTGACTCGCTCCCTGGAGAGACCGCGGGGAAGCATGGCAGAAGGGAACATGTGTGATCTCGGGCAGACGTCCTAATCACTGTTCGCATAAGTCACTCAATCAAGGTCTTCTTGGCATCGCTGCGCCGATGCCCATGGATGCTTGCCGTCATGTTTCAAGGCTACAGGACACCTGAATCGAAACTGGGACATAGGCTCGAAACAGCGTTGCTGCTCCCACTTTCGATAGCCGTGCGCGGCCGCTGCGCCTGGGACATAATGTCTTTGACTGACGATGCATAATCATATACAGACGGAATACGTATATGTATGACGACTGGTGTGGCAAAGTGATCTGTGCATGCAGGACTAGTGACAGCACGATGCATAACATGTGTCTTTGCATGTGACCACTGCAAATTTGATTTGCTGCACTTGTGGCAAATCCTTGCAACGTATCACAACCGAAGAGCGCCAAAAATGATCAAAGCAAGCACACGGTCGTGAGAGGCATGCCATTCGTTTCAAGCCGGAACGGCTGTCTGAGTAGCATTTTCAGTTGCAGCATGGGGCTTTCGGTTCTCCGAACGTCCTCACAAGACCCAGAACAAAGGCCGGAGATGACCAATACGACAACTGTGCAATCTTCAACATCCCGCCTGAAAAAACAAAGCTCTGACTGGACACTCTCTTCTCGTAAGGCTGCTGAGGGCACTGCCGCTGGCTCATCCGAGATAGGGGTGTCAGCCCCTCGCTTGGAACCTGTCGCGAAACATCTGGGTCCGTTGCTCGTCATCGCCGAGGCTTCAAGAGCACCAGTGGCGGAAAGGAGAGGGCAAACAGAGGCAAAAGAGGCAACGTGGCTAGAAGCACTCGCCTCGCAAGCTGTTTGCTTGAATGGCCAGCCTTGGATGCTTGCACGAGGGAGTGTCAAAATAGAACCTGTCTCTGCCTCTCAATGCTTGAATGCATGCAAACTCGATTCAACATGAGAGTGTGCTTGGAATCGAACCAACTCTAACCCCGATTTCCTGCGAATCACCTGGAAGCACTACACTGCGTCATGGCTAACCGGCTACCCTAGCAGCTTAAACTGCTGAGATGCTTGCAAAGCAGTGCCGCACCCTCTCTGTGCCCAAACCCCTTTTTTTGCGATGAGTGCTGCCCTGAAGCGTGAGTGTTGGCAACAGCCTGCTGATGGTCTCGTTGGCCTGCTAGCTGCAGAACAGGGAAATGCAACTGTTCAAATCGAGCTCTAAGCAGGCTTGACGGGAGGAGCCCCAGCAGCCAGCAAAGAACAATGGCTCCAGCGCAGCTACTCAGCTACTCCCACCTCTTTCACTTTGCTCAGCTCATCCTCACCATGTGCAAAGAACCAGACTACCACCAAACAAATATCGCCAATCCACAAACGGCCCAACATGTACGTTATTTACTTCTGACTATGTCAGAAGCAACTCTACATCCATGCGCAGTCTTGACTGGTATTGGTACAATGCAAAGCCATGGAAGGCAGATGAAGACAGCCACAATGCATCCAACACCTCGAAGCCCCCTGTTCGACCCAAAGCATGGACAGGAGATGTCAGAAGGTGATCATTCCAAGGTCCTCAGGAAGACGTAGCAGGCCGGAGCCCACGGCCCCCACCCTGCTGCTGAGGGCCTCCGGAGAACCCTGATGCCCTAAACCCCAAACGGCTTGAAATGTGCTGGTCTGTAAATAAGTTGAAAGGTTGGGGGCGGCTTGCAAAAGCACTTCTAGCTGCGCTGTTTGTTGGGGCGCCTTCATGTGTAGCTCCACGCGGCTTCCGAGGGTGTGGGAAAGAGAAGTCTGGAGAAGTCCGCAGAGCCCGTTCCGACGCAACACCCCTGAGCACAACGACGACGGCTGCCGCCTCCAGACCTTCTTGTAGGGTCCTGTCAGAGCTGGCAAATGGAAAGCGCAAACTATGCAAACTATTCCAGCAACCATAATGGGTTTCAAAGCTCGCTGATCACACAGTGCCTAGACTCAGACCATGTTGCAACAGCAAGACAACATGCAAAGAAGCAAGCTCAGCAATGCTCCTGGAACCCTGCTTCATCCCCTCTTTGAGGATGCCCCGAAAACCTTAAGCCATGTTGGCGGCTTCAGGAATTTGAGAAAAGTGACTTTCACAGGCAGCAGAGATTCAGCCCCTGCGAAGGTGCGGTGTCTGAGATGGACACCATTGGTGGGCTTGGAGTCCTGCACTGGTGCTACTCGGATCGCATGATCATCAATGACGACGGTCTCCATATCGCAGTCTGCCCTGCCTACATTTGGGTGTGTTCGCGACTGCAGTTTCAAGACTCTCCAGTTCGATTGCGACTGCAGAAGCACCTTCTTACCAAGCCGTTCAGCGTCTCACAATCCCAGACTTCCTGCAGCTGTCAGCCCCACCAAGCCCGGAAGCGTACCGGCACCCTGGTTTAACAGGAAAGTTTCGGCGCATCTTGTATTCCCGAGGCCGGAAGCCTCCAGGGCCGCAGTCTCGGGCGAGGTCGGCTTTTGATTCCGCGCCATCACCTGCAGAGGCGCCCAGACGCACTTGGATGGCCGAAACGTAGGGGTCTCGGAGGCCAATGTTGGTCTTTCGATTTCACGTCTGCAGCTCGGCAGGAACCAGCAACATGTTTGAACAGAAGTCACATGGTTTTCTCATTTCATACATCCCACTGCTTTCTTGGTAGGAAGCTTTGTTCCTGCACGCTGGTCTCAAGTATGGCCACATGTCAGTTTGGTCAACTTTGACTTTAACCCATCTGGATACATCTGGACAGCTACACTACATGATTGGGCTGGAGCCTCCTTGGCTTGGTGCAACACCTTCGCCAGGTGTGGGAACACCTGCCAACGGAGAGAATGTAATCCAGGGGTCCAAGCTGTGATGTCATCTACACTATCAGCTAGCGAACTTCAACCGCGACCAGCGCGATCACCAATCCCGATCTACAGACATAGGGTTCCGTGGAATCCAGACCTTTCACACACTGCCGATAGCACCTATCTGCGGTCTCAACCCTGTCCTTGTAACATTATTCATGGATTCATGGCGAGCCCAAGATCTGGAGCTTTAGAGGCACCTGGTTGGAATTGAAGACCGCATTACGGTCCTGCCGATCCACCGACGAAGATCTACGGACTTCGGGTTCGCATGACTTGCAAGTAATTACACTCCGAGGTTGCTGGTGCAGAAGATCTCTGACTGTTAAGTCCTCCTCTGGAACGCTCTGGGACCATGTGCAGATCGATTGCGAAACGCTCTGCACATTCACGGAGAGGCTTTCCCTTGGATGGTCGTAGCGCAAAAGCTTCCAAGACGGAATTGCAGAAGCCACCGAGCTTTGCTAAGAACATTAGCCCCATGGCGCATGAGCTCTTTGCAACATGAGCTGCGGAATTTCGTAAGGCCCCTGCAATTCCAAGGTCTTTTCCTCTGTACGGGACAGGACCTCGTTAACCCAGGTGGCTGCCTCGAACAGCCCGAACCTTGGAGCACGCGGTGGACCACATTAGTTCCACTTGCAACTTCTTTGCCCAAGCGTGCTCCGCCTACGTACTCGTAACGCAGGTGCACTGGATGCTTTTACATCGACGGCGAAGGACTGGGACCACTAGGACTCCCTCGCCCCCAGCTCTGTGCTCCTCGCAGGGTCTCCATCTGCTCATGCTACGGCCACTGGGATCCTAGCTTTCTTGAGCAGAGGCCTGGTGAGTGCTGCTAAGGAGGCCGTCCTCTACAGCAGTAGTGTAGTCAGATCTGAGAGCGGTTCGTCTCTGCATGTCCAATGTGGCAGATGGTGCACGGTCAGATGCACGGTGTACTGAAGAAGCTTAATGCTGCAAGGCGTGCCCCACGCCGGCTTATCATATCATGTGCGCACAGAGCTGAGCAAAAGGCACGGAAATGCACGGAACAGAAGGCCGCTTGAGGAAGCTTCAATGTCAAAGGACTTGTTTGCGCATGTTCGGCGTGGTACTCCGGCCGGAGACTGGAAATGCAGAGGCCGTTTTCGGGTGCCAAAACCATTCAAAGCGTCAACAGCTCGTTGTCCTGCGGCGCACCGGACTGGCAAAAATTGGTAAACTTGATAACAACGCCAAGCAATCTGAGACGAGATTACTAGACATGCTGCCCTGAAGCCCTGAACACATCGATCGTGGCCTTCAAGAGCTGGCGGATGAAGGCTGCCTGTGGGTTCTCGCACTCGCGACTTAAAAACGCCAAGCAAGTCTCTGACTTCCTCTTCTGACGGGTTCCACGGGAAACATGTCTCTCTCCCTCCGTCTCTCTCTCGTTTCTTTCAGGCTGAAAGCAGTTGAATGAAAACGGCTGGCTAGCCTCTGTCGATCCCCGCGCGTTACAGTACGCTTGGCGAAGGGATGCCCTAATGTTTTGTTCTGGCAGCCGCGAAGGGAAGGCATGTCGGAAAGTACGCAGCGAGGTTGGTAAAGCACAACCCCTTCCGCAAGAAGATGATGTCGTAAGGCGTTTGGCAAGAGCGTTGGAATAGGGTCTTTACATCAATGACTTTGCCCGAGGAGCTGTTGAACCTGGAACCTTGAGTAAGGGAGTTTTGCGGAGGGCTCGCCCTAGCGGCCCTAGCATGTCCCTTCGCCAAAGCTGCTGAGCTCCGTTTTCTGTACTCGCCCTGCCCCCCCCCACACAAGCCGGCTCGAGCTCGACACAAAACCCACAAACAAAAAGATGAAGAGTCGCCGGGAACTTACGCAGTCTCGCAGGTGGGCAACGGTGGGGTGGGCCAAGCGGAAACGTCGGAAAATCGGCTCAGACAAATTTGCACGCGGAGTTGAGAAAGGTTCTGTTTGCTGCGGCTCTGAAGTAAATGACGGGCCTTGGCATGGTAGTGCGGCAGCTCTTTCCATTCGCTCGCCTGAACCTGCAAGAGACTGCTCTGAGGAAGGGCACGGGTTGAAAACTGACCGGTAGCAAAGCAGCCCCGGTAACACGCTTCTCCAGACCATTTCTCTGCCCAGGTGCTCCGACTGCAATAGCTCTGCTAAGAGTATCCAGCCTCGATGCTCCGCCAACCAACGGCCTCGCGAGTCCGAAGCTTGTCGCAAGCCACAGCGAGCAGAGTCTCCAAGCCGGACTAAGGGATCCGGCTTGTAGCAAGGAAGGAGCAACAAGAACCGAGTGATTCCGACAACTTCATTTGCGCAGCTCCGCTGGAGTAAAGCAAGGTCAGAAACTTTGCACATAGTGGCTGGCAAGAAAGTGCAAGTGGCCTTGTCAACCTACAAATTTCCGGGCGCGGGCCACTCGGTGCACATCAGCCAAGATCATGGCCATGCCGCCATGCCATCAAATGACTTGAGATGACCAGCAAACTGAGACCACAGCGGGGAAACGAGCCAACCAATTTTTGCACGGGAGAGTCGGGGAGCGCAGAAGGAAACATGGGGGGATTGTATGGGGACCTTCCAAGGCTGTCCCCAAGACCCGTAGAACATTGGGACCTCTCCACACTTCCTCTTTCTGCATCTCCCAAAATCGCCCAAAGTATTGAGCCCCTGTAGCCAGGAAACAGACATTGAAACCTCTCGGCACTTTCGCGCCCACAGAATCCCAAAACCATGAGAGGTCCCAATGTTTTCGGCGCTCACACTCGGACAATCCAGGCGAGGCCCAATGTTTTAGGGGTCGAGAGGGGCCCAAAACCATGCAATCTCAATCAAACCAATAAAAGCAGTTCTTTAGAGTCTCCAGGCCTGCTCTTCCCAAGCATTGGCTTTATTCCGGCTCCTAGATCCCTACAACATTATCATTTCTCAGCACTTTGGCACTCCCAGCGTCGCAAAACCATGAGAGGTCCCAACTCTCAGCATTGTGACGCCCCAAGAGTCCCAAAACCCTGAGAGGTCCCAATGTTTTCGGCCCATACCACCAAAGCGATTGGGACCTCGAGCACTTGTGGTCTCTCACGGTCCCAAAGACAGAAGTGGTCGCAACTTGGGCTCCCGCATAGTAACTAATGCATGCGTGACTCTCTATACCGCATTTAACAAGTGGTTCAACGAAACGGAACGTTTCGGGTTCACATAAGCCTGACGCAAGATTTCCCGAATACATCTGTTCTTTTGTGGCCATAGCAGTGCTCTGTACATGCTGTGGCGAATATTACCTACCTGAACACATATTACCAGTTACCAAGACTACAGCTCCGCACCGGCCTCCAGGTGCCGCTTTTTCCGCGCTCGGGCCGTCTCGATGAGCCCGAAGCGCCAGGTCCGCTCCTGCTCGGAGCTCTGCAGAGCTCTGCAGCGGCAGAAGTACGTAGAATGGTAAGAGTCATAGCGAGGTTACAACGAGATCAGCAACTAAGCGTCAACAGTGGCAGCAGATAGTAACGCTGCTAACAGTAGCAATCATGACTGTGTGTGCTTGATGCTCAAGCGTCGGATGAGGCATCCAAGCCGCGCACAGCGTGTGAATATCTTTGCAAAGGTTGAGGGGGTGTGGGCTCGTGAAGGCTATTGCACTTCGATGCTGAGCTGACGAGACTTCAACTCTGCAGTCTAGGCCTCCACAGGCTCGAAGTTGACCCGCTCCTCAGGGTCACAGACCTTCTCATCACCGTGGCCGCCGATGGTACAATGCTTACACATTTGCATGCCCGCAAAGCTTCGTGCAAAGTCATCACGGAACCAGAGCATGGCAGGAAGGGCTCGCTCCGTTCCCCATCCCGCCTTCAGAGGATACGGCCCCAGCATCTTACGCTTGGCAGGGAAGCCATGCCTGAGTTTCCAGAAGCCGTGCTTCGCGAGGGCCGTAGCCTAGAACGACTGTTCGACCCTCAGCGCAGGCAGCTGAATTGTATGCTGGATGCTTCCGCAAGAAGAATGCCATCTGGTAGGACAGGGGAGTGTCGCGGCCTCGGTCCGGAACGGCGTCGCGGCATTTCCCGCAACCCTTGGACCTGGGATGCACGCGGAGCTCACGGTCGTAGTAGCGGAGATTTCGAACGACGGAGAGGTACTCGGTGACCTCTGGGGGCAGCCGCTCCTGGATAGTCGGAGACAGCGATGGGAGACTATGGCACTGAACTTTTGCAACTTGCCTGCGGTGCTTGTAACAAAAACCAGAGGACCATGGAATCCGTTATTGCTGATACAACCAGCAATGCTATAGCCCTACTCCCTGATATCCTGCGTGTAGAGGAAGTCAAGTCGAATTAACATCTCGATGGTTTTCAGCATGCGCAGCTCCTGAAGGTGTAAAGCGAAATAAAAATTGGCACAGCCGTGTGTGCTCTCTCACTCGAGGACCGAAGTCTCACCCTCATCCGCAAAGAACGGTCGAAGGCACTTTGCCCTTCGCTGTAAGCGACTACACAAACATGACTTCCATGTGTCCTGCGAGTCGTCGGCTACGTGGATCAAAGGCTCACGCAGCGAGGAGCGCAAGAGGACTGTCGTAGCGCCACTAGAGCCTAGGGTGTACGGAAGATAGCTCGGTGAAGCTATCTGCAGTACTGTTAGCTTGCCCAAGCGTGAAGTATCAGCAGGCCCGCACCACAAAGAAAACCAAACAAAAAGCATGTCCGAGAGCCTGGCTAAGACCTGTCGCCAGCATCGTGTGGCCTTTGATGCAGGCTCCCTACATGAGCGCATGAAATCCTGTGTATTTATGTGCACGTCATACTTATTTGGAAGGTCGGGACTTCGCGTGCAGTACTCTGCTTCGTTGGCTTGGAGAGACTGGAGGCAGTCAGCATCCGAAGCCCAAGGTTCTTCCGCCTTCGCCACTTTTAGCACAAAAAACACGAACAACCCCTCAACATCGAGGACGATAATTGGCTGCTTCAAGTCAGGGTCTGATACCCTATCAGTCGTCCGAGCTGCAAAGGCTGACGGCAGACGGCATTGGCAACAGGGCGCCAGCAGCCTGGTCGTGTCTGCCAATTGCTTCAAGAAGCATTGCGCTCTGGATCTCGATAAATTAGACCGCCTCTGCTTTACATCTGTGCGCTGCAGGACATCATCGCCAAGGACGAAAATGCCATCACACGGGCCCGGTGCTGGTCTGAAATCTGTCCAGAAGCAAGAAAATGCACGCCTCAAAGCGGGGGAAGTCCTGCTCCTGAGCTTGTCGGAAGTCTTGAAGGGGATGCAACCGTACAAAAAGGCTGCACCGTGCACGCAGAGCATGCAATGCTGGTCTTCAAGAACGTTTAAGGTCTCAAGAACACAAGATGCAGCTGCGATAACTTGGGGGAAAGTTCTGAGGAGTGTGGCTGCAAACACTTCAGATTGCTGACGGCCAAGGCGCAATGTGGCTGTACACCAGCCGAAGCCGATCTGGAGCCAGCCCACCACGGTGAAAGCAAAGAAGAACCTGTGACGGGCAAGCAAAAACGAAAACAGCCACACTACAAACTCCGGAACCGTAACTGGACCACGTCCCCCTGTCCTCGCGGAGTTCTGCTGCACGGTCTGAGATGGTTTCGCCGTCACGGAGGGTCTCGATATCCTTCAAGTACTCCTGACGGAGTGGTTGCGTGCTCAAGCTGCCGCTTGGGAGGAGATTGGTCGTCCCGGTCAGTGGCACGCGGTGCTGTGATGAGTCCAACTCTGCATGCAATGGTTGATGTGAGTTGCTGTTCTCCACGAACTGCACGCGTGCACTCGATCTTCCGGTGGATGCGTTGCCTCCAGAAATACCAAGAGGTACAGAGCGAAGGAGTACGGCTTGCCGGGCACCGTCCCGAGGTCCGCCTCATGAAGCAAAATGAAACGGAACACACGTCGAGCTGCTGCATCCCAACTAGCGTCTATCTGGCTATCTATGTACCATCTATCCTGATTCCTTCGTCCCTGTCCATGTACCTTTCTACCTCTGACTCACATGCCTGTCGAGGTCTGTTGGTGTTGTTCTGTCTGTCTCTGAGTCTGCCTGTCTGTTGCTGTGAGTCTCTATCTCTGTCAATGTCTATAGGTCTATGTCTCTGTCTGTCTCTCTGTCGGCGTGGATGGTAGAGCGGCTGTTCAGGCCCAAAGTGATGGAGATAAAAGTTATTTGCCTCGGCCTTGGCCGAAGTGGTCCCCCCCGGACCCTACGGCCGCGACACCGGCCCCCCGGCCAACTCCCTGCCCACGCTCATCATCGGGTGCCCGCTGAACCTGCTAATTGGGCCCCGATGTGGAGACTGTGTTCACCTGCGACCGGGCCGAGGCAAACCATGCGCGGTTTTTACAATAAGAGCCTAAGTCGCCAATGAATCAGAACATGTCGTGTGGCCAAGGATGTGTATAGTGTGTTTAAAGATTCGTCACATACAGGACCACCGCATTCCAACAAATGTCTTTTGTCCTGAGCGGGGGCGAGGCACTCGCAGGCAAGATATTATCGAACATGACAGGCAATGATGGCCCTCAAACATCCCTGGGGTCCTTACACTCGGAAATTCACTACGTATGTCACAACTTGACAAACTATCCCAGGATTTGGCTTTTTTCTTTTGCAGTCCGTTCCGGTGTTCGTGGTACCCAAAAGCACCCGTTCCGGCTGGGGTTCGGGCTACGGCTCGAAGCAGCGCGAGCCGGTCTCGGATCTCCCCGCCGATCAAGAAGCGCTGGCAAGCGAGGAGCGGTTCATCCACCCACTCGTGCAAGAGACATCACGCAGTCTTGTTTGGCAAGAACCTTTTTTCGCTAAGAACTTGCATGCAATCACCACAGCAATTTCAATAACATGGCCGACTTCAAAAGTGCTCCTGAACTTCCTGGCCTGAAGCGCCGGCGCTACTTCCTCCAGCTCGGCCTGTTTCTGCTGCACCACCGCCTCCGTAAGACTTCTTACACTGTCCCCTGACATTCGCACTCTAGCCAGGTCTGATATGCTCTCTTAGTCTTATAGAGCTTTGGCTGAGTGGAGTGAGGCATGATGTACGATACAACATCTGCAGTACTCAGGATTAAAGGCAGAAATTCGGATATGTGAGTCCAGTAGGATTGCAGACGAACGGTCGCCCCTAACCAAAGCAGTATCTTGCACTTTGCCGCGGGTGCTTCCGAGCCTGCCGGCGTCAATCTCAGGCACAAAACCCAAAAGGAAATCACGCCATAACACCTCTGCGACACCCCACTGAGCAACCAACAATGAAAAAAGAACTCTCTCCTGCAACCTCTGTCTGTTCTGAGGGGTCTGGACCGCACGAATGGCTGCCCCAAGTCGTCGCACAGTTTTTTTAATAAAGGGCAAACGGACGTGAACATCTTGCATTACAACCTGATCTCCTGCGTTACATTGACGTTTATGCGGGTTCCTCGTCGGTTGGCTGCGTTGGCCGGCGGAGATCCTGTCACCCATCGCACGCGCTGCTTGCTGAGGCGGCAATTGACAGCATCCAGAACGAGCTGCCCATCCTTCAAGAAGGCCACCACCTCATCAAAGGCAGAAGCGCCTCGCAAGGCGAAACGAATGTTCTGCAAGCACGGCTGTAGGAGAGACTGAGGCAGGGCAGGGTACAGCATGTTGCGCTACGCCCCGGAGTCGAGAAGTTCAAAGTTGAGTTGTACACATACATTATCATACCTTGTACATCTTGTGGCAGAAATCTGCCCCAAAACATGTAACCGCTTTCCGCGATGCTCCTGCCTCTGCCAATAAAAGTTGCGTCCTCAGAGACCCCAACGACCTCCAACGAAGATGTTAAGAGCAAGACAGTGACATCAGCATTTCCGCAGCGACAAGTGCAGCCAAGTCAAAGTAGGTCCAACCGCAAAGGACTTTCAGACATGAAGACATGATATGGCCTGGACTGTACGAGGTGCCCAAGCCCAAGCATTCTGAACCACTGCCACAACTGTTCTCTTCACAACATCGCGATGTCGCTATGATAGCTGATAGCCTGTCTCGAAGAATATGAAGGATGCTGGTATCGTTGAAAGTGTACGTAGTAGGCATATCAAATCATATCAACATGCCTCGGATGCCCAGTCGCGCCAGCGACTCGGTTGTGCCAAGCCTGCAGGCGGACACATGTGCTGAAGCAGTCTAGGCTGTTGCCCTGCCATAGTGCCTAGATCAATGCGAAGAACATAGATCATTCGTTGGCGCACGAGCCCCAACGGCACAACCGTCACGAAGTTCACAATTCATACACAGTCGGCACGACAGCAGCCTGTAGGTCTGCAGATATGCCTTGCACACAACAACACGCTGTCACATTCTGGAATGCAACCGCGAACTGCTCGTAGCTAGGTTCCCAAACCGGAGAGCAGGTCTTTGGCTCCATCGACATAGCACCTCTTGCCAGATCTTCTGTTGCCAAATCGCGCTTACACCAATTTACATCATCTGAATCTACAAATTGTTACATGTGCAAAGTGGGGCACGCAGCCTCATGCTCACACAATCGGCCTTGCACAATGCACGACTTGCCATTGAGCGCAGTGGCAAAATCGACTGAAGTGTGTGTGGGGTACAGCGTCATGCTTTCGAGACTTGAAGTTGCTGATTTGAAGTTCGGCACTTCCTGAACACACGGCGGGCTGCAGGGCTTGTGCTGCAAGTTAAGGGATTCCCACAGCTTGGGTGCCGGGTAGCCAAGCATCATGCATGCTTTTCTGGCTTGAGATTTGCGGCTTCGGGTCAAAATGCTTCGGCAAATCTAGATTCGCCTTGGCGACCTAACAGCCACGAAAATACATTTCGCAATTGCTGTCCCGACCCGCCCCC